CTTACTGCACTCTTAGCTCTGTAGAGACAAATGCAAATTGACACCAGACTGTCTGTTATTTTGGTCTGGAATGACAAGCGCAAGCCCATGAATCCAATAGCATATTTCTTACATATCTGTGTCTAGAGACTTGGTTTGCGGTAAAGCCCACTCCTAGTGTAGCCCCGTGCTCTCACCAACACCGACCCAATACAGGATTCCTGCTGCCTGCCAGTTGTGGGGGAGTGGGGTTCCATGACTGATGGATGAGTGATTCCTCTTGGAGAGACAGGGGCAGCAGGATTGCCAGAACAGGCAATAAGACCCAGGCTGTTCCCTACACCATAATGAAGAGAAAAATGCTTTGTTCAACCCAAAATCACTGTGTAACCAGACTAGGTGTCAGGCATGACTCTCTCTCTCTCTGGAGCAGGCTTAATTATAGGGGGTACATCCAGATGTGAAATAATGCTCTCAATGATTGGAATTCTTGGCAGCAAAATGCTTTTGTATTGTATAGCCATGGATAACCAGTAACTATATGACACTGTGTGTTGGAGTTAGCTAGTCTGGTTCTGCATGAGGTTGTTATACACACTACCAGACTTTATGGGGGAACAAGGTGAGGTTTGTCATCACTGGATGTTTCTTAACCTAGAGTGCACAGTATGCCTAGGCTATAGGCTATGCCTTAATCCACTGAAAATATAATTAAAAGGAGGGGAGAGAAAATAGTATAACAATTGCAGCATAGCTGTTACAGACCTTATTTAATTACTTCCATTACAACCCTCCCCCAACCACTCACACAGTCAAAATCCACAATCCATTCCAAACACTCAACCTAAGCCCTAGGTTCTCTCTTTCCTAGTCTTCAACTTCCTCCCAGCTTTCTTAACCCCTCAGCTGTTCTGCTCTCTCAGCCCGTCCATCTCATCTGCCCAGTCTACTCTGAACCTCACTTCCTCTGCTAATGGGACAGCAGGGCACTAGGGGGACAGTCAGTCACTGGGACGCTCTAGAGTCAACTACTAATCTGTTCATTCTCACATGTTGAAGACAGAAAGGGTTCAGCAGCCAAAAGTCTAATAAAAGATTGATTGGAGTAGATACAGTATCGGTATAGGTGTACATTAACTGTAATTTAAGTCCTTATGTTGTCAAGCCAGCTGTGATTAAATACACTTTTCTTTCACTTAAATCTGTCACTGGAATGTATTATTTTTCAGAACTTGCATTTTTCTGCCCCTACCAAATTGGATTTAATGCTCACCATTAGACATGTTGAATTAAGTGGGTTATTGTTGTGGTAATATGAGAATGGTGTGGGGTTAGTTTATTTTAAAAGGCCCTTGAAACTCGGTTCCTCTTCTCTGTTATGAATTTCAATACGAAAACAAACAAAACAGACTTCATTCACCAGAGAGCTCACGCATGTTGTGATAGTCACGTACATTTGTATTGACGAAAACCTACACATCCCCTCTCTGTCACGAATGTTGAATAAAATGCAATTGCCTATTATCCGTGGGGTTGGTTCTTATATAGGGCGGAATTTGAGATAAAATATCCAAAGGAACATATTAATAAACAGACTTTCCAAACGTGGGTCTGCTGCAGACTCTCTTCCTCTCTGTCAAAATAAAAGTCCCCCACAAGTTATCGCTTGCTTGTGCACATATGGTGCACGTGCAGGACTTTTGTTTTGACATGAGGTGAAGCAGAGAGGACGTGATATGCCAGGCACCTGCAGCAAACCCACGTTTATTTATATGTTCCTTTGGATATTTTGTCAAAATCCACCCTATATAAGAACCAACTGGACAATCGGAAGAGTAAGTTCAAATGGAATTGTATTCAGCATTCGTGACACAGTGGACGTGAAGCTAGCGTTCTGGTTTTGGCAGTGGATTTTTGCGTGCTGATGATGTCCAAAAAGGATAGCATCGGTGTATCACGCCTAGGTGTGATGGGGCCTGTGACGATGTGGACTGCAGCCAGCCAGCTATCTAGTTTCCTAACGCGCTAATTCTCCTCTATTCCCCATTCATAGACCAAAACGTAAGTGCCTGAATATGACCTGCTCATTTTTTATTTAGCTAGCTAGTGTTCTTGATACTGTGTAACATTGTTATGTTCATGTGTAACATCGCTATGAAGGCCAAGTAGGCATATCATAATCCATGCTAGCTGCTTTTAGCAATGCTGGTATATTGACACTAGCATTGATGCGAATTGTGTTGCAAAAAATCGGAACAGTCCGCAGGAAGCCAGAAGTTAAATAAAATTCAATTTCAATTTACTCTGCCGGTGGTCTGGATGGTTGGTCCTTATAACGGGGGAATTAGAGACAAATTATCTAAATGAACATATTATTAAACAGACTTTCCAAACATGGGTCTGTTGGATAATTGTGGGTCTGTTTTATTTTGACATGAGGTTAGCAGAGAGGAAGTGGGTCTACAACAGACCCACGTTTGGAAAGTCTTTAATAATACGTTCCCTTTAGATATTTTGTATCAAATTCCGCTTGGCCTTCATAGCAATGTTAGACATTAACAAAATGATGTTACACAGTATCAAGAACACTAGCTAGCTAAATAAAAAAAATGGGCAGGTCATATTCAGGCACTTGTGTTTATTATTCAATGTTTATTATTGTATGTGTATTAGTAAATATGAATACTGAAGGCCTAAATATTAACTGGAAGTACATTGAGATATTTCCTGTTTACAGTTTAATGTTTATAATTAAAATGGAGGTACTTGAAGCTTACCTGTTTTGAGGTCTGAGTATAATTGACCCCTTTTATTGGACCAAGTGGCATTGTTCAGGGAAGGGATAGGCAATTGAATTGTGTACAGTCTGCTTGAGGTTGTGAAACAAAGAGGGGCTATATGCCTAATGAACAATGCCGTTGTGAGCTGTGCCATGTCGCTTATGCATTTGTATTTAGCTGTCTAGGGATCTTAAAGTTTATTCAGCTAAAATGTATTTGTTACTCAATTTCCTTTTTGTTTTGTGTACATAGTTTGGTATTTTCGTCATTCATTAATGTTATATGGACATCCTGCATTCCTGCACCTGTAAATAACTCATTCTGCATAAGGGTCTGCTATTTTACAGGGCAAATTGAGAAACAAAAAGCTCATATCAAATCCATTATATGTATGATAAATGTCTATGCTTCAGTGTGGGCCTCAAATCCTGTGTCTCATTTTAGCACGTGCTGAAATAAGACAAGTATGTACACTACCAGTCAAAGGTTTGGACACACCTACTCATTCAAGGGTTTTTCTTAATTTTTACTATTGTTTACATTGTAGAATAATAGTGAAGACATCAAAACTATGAAATAACACATATGGAATCATGTAGTAACCAAAAAAGTGTTAAACAAATCAAAATATATTCTTCAAATAGCCACCCTTTGCCTTGATGACAGCTTTGCACACTCTTGGCATTCTCTCAACCAGCTTCATAGTCACCTGGAATGCATTTCAATTAACAGGTGTGCCTTCTTAAAAGTTAATTTGTGGAATTGATTTCCTTCTTAATGCATTTGAGCCAATCAGTTGTGTTGTGACAAGGTAGGGGGGGTATACAGAAGATGGCCCAGTTGGTAAAAGACCAAGGCCATATTATGGCAAGAACAGCTCAAATAAGCAAAGAGAAACGACAGTCCATCATTACTTTAAGACATGAAGGTCAGTCAATACTGAACATTTCTGGAACGTTGAAAGTTTCTACAAGTGCAGTCGCAAAAACAATCAAGCGCTATGAGGAAACTGCCTCTCATGAGGACCGCCACAGGAATGGAAGACCCGAAGTTACCTCTGCTGCAGAGGATAAGTTCATTAGCGTTACCAGCCTCAGAAATTGCAGCCCAAATAAATGCTTCACAGAGTTCAAGTAACAGACACATCTCAACATCAACTGTTCAGAGGGGACTGTGTGAATCAAATTGCTGCAAAGAAACCACTACTAAAGGACATCAATAATATGAAGAGACCTGCTTGGGCCAAGAAACACAAGCAATGGACAGTAGACCGGTGGAAATGTGTCATTTGGTCTGGAGTTCGAATTTTTGGTTCAAACCGCCGTGTCTTTGTGAGACGTGGTGTGGGTGAACGGATGATCTCTGCATATGTCGTTCCCACCGTAAAGCATGGAGGAGGAGGTGTTATGTTTTGGGGTTGCTTTGCTGGTGACACTGTCTGTCATTTATTTTTCGAATTCAAGGCACACTTAACCGGCATGGCTACCACAGCATTCTGCAGTGATACGCCATCCCATCAGGTTTGGGCTTAGTGGGACTATCATTTGTTTTTCAACAGGACAATGACCCAACACACCTCTAGGCTGTGTAAGGGCTATTTGACCAAGAAGGAGAGTGATGGGAGTGCTGCATCAGATGACCTGGCCTCCACAATCCCCCGACCTCAACCCAATTGAGATGGTTTGGGATGAGTCGGACAGCAGAGTGAAGGAAAAGCAGCCAACAAGTGCTCAGCATATGTGGGAACTCCTTCAAGACTGTCGTAAAAGCATTCCAGGTGAAGCTGGTTGAGAGAATGCCAAGAGTGTGCAAAGCTGTCATCAAGGCAAAGGGTGGCTATTTGAAGAATATATTTTGATTTGTTTAACACTCGTTTGGTTACTACATGATTCCATATGTGTTATTTCATAGTTTTGATGTCGTCACTATTATTCTACAATGTAAAAATAAAGAAAAACCCTTGAATGAGTAGGTGTGTCCAAACTTTTGACTGGTACTGTATACACAATGAGACATTGTACATTGCCTTAGGATCGTCATGTCATGTTTATACAGGCTTACAGGCTTTAGGGATGCTTTTTTAAGTTATACTGAATGGGCTTACACAGTGACTGTCATGAACATGGCCCAATATGTCTGAGCCCTATGTCTTCATTGTAACGTCCCTGTTTCCTGTCTTGTAGGTTCAGGAGAGCTTGTCCAAAGGGCAGCAGGGGAAGGGCCAAACGAGGAGAGGGCACCATGGACAGTGAGCAGGGGCCTCCAGCTTCCACTGCCTCCAGCACCAGTACAACCAGTAGCAGCACTACCACCAGCAGCAGCACGGGAAGGCAGGCTGTGCCTCAGATCTCTGTGTACAGCGGGATTCCTGACAGGCAGACGGTTCAGGTAAACTTCAGGGTAAAAAAAACACGCCAGTCCAGTGTGACACACACCCACATACACGTGTTTTGCATAAACTGTTTTGTCCATTTGCATTCCCTGCAATAATGAAATTGTCATTGCCGTACTGCCATCTGCTGGTAAAACCATGCATGCACCGTAAATCGGCCAGTATTGCACTTCGCTCACTATGGAATTTACTTCATGCTTATAATAAACAAGACTATTACATTTTAGACGAAAATGCAATTAGATCATTTTTTCGCATTGTTTATTTGATGTAATACACTGGCATCATGCAATCGATCAATACTGACGACAGCAGATCAGGGTTGCTATGGTTCCAAGTTCCAGGCTCTGTCCTCTGCTATTTGACCTTTGACCGATGTGAAACTCAGCTTGGATGAGTCTCTCAGAGTTTATCCTCCTCTTAAAGGGTGACAGACAGATCTTAGGTCTCTTCTAACCTTTATTCTTTCAAATGCATGCGCTCATCTGCCCGTAGCAAGGGAACTAGCAGCATTGTCACTATCGGCCTACTTAACATAGTGCACGGCTGGTCATTTGGGCTCAATAAGAGAGAAGTGAATAGCTGTTCCATCACCACCCTCTTTGCCCCCTGGAAGCCTATGTGCTCTGAGTCAATTCATCTCTCATGTTGCCTTGGCAACTATGCTGAGGTTGTCAGTACATTTTTGTCATGAAGATTGAAGAAAATATGTGCTCAGGGCTATAGGGGTTGGCATAGGATGCGATTAAGTCCATTACAATGTGTAGGAGATGCAGTAGTGAGCCTGTTCTCCCTAGCATTTCTCAACAGGGGCCAACCACCTTAGGAATCTCCCATTACTGCTTTTCGATGGCTCAGTAAAAACAGTGCAATTGGGACTTGTTTTTTTCAGAGCATTACTCCAACCTAGTAACAGTCCTTTTTAGAGCCTGTTGTTGAGAATGTTACCCCAACCGCTAACCTGTCTCTTTCTCCCTGTGTACTGAAGGTGATCCAGCAGGCATTGCACCGGCAGCCCAACACGGCTGCGCAGTACCTGCAGCAGATGTACGCAGCGCAGCAGCAGCATCTCATGCTGCAGACAGCAGCCCTCCAGCAGCAGCACCTGAGCAATGCACAGCTCCAGAGCCTGGCTGCTGTACAGCAGGTGAGCACTGGAGACACGAGACTGTTAAACTGGGGAATTAAACAGGCCGCCAACAAGGCTGGGGGCTAGTGTTAGGATTTTGACAAAGATGTGAGATAAGGTCAGTGCTGGGGTTAGGGTTCTGAAAGTTTAGTTGGTAAATCGAACAATTATCTTCAGATGAAGAGAAATGTACTGTAAGTGTGGACCCCCAAATGCTCCTCTAACTGTTCTCTCACCTGTCATGCCACAGGCCAGTATTGTGGCAGGAAGGCAGAGCTCCACCCAAAATGGCACTTCATCCCAGCAAACAGGATCATCCCAGGCCACAGTGAGTGCAGTGAGTCATGTCTATTAACTCAGGGGTCGGGTTCATAGATGTGTAGTGTTTTTTTGTTGTTGGTGATGTTCTGTAATCCTTTCTCTTCTCTGTCCTGTCCCCAGATTAACCTGACCACGTCCCCGGCTGCAGCCCAGCTGATCAGCCGAACCCAGAGTGTCAGCTCCGCCCCCGCCGGCAGCATCTCCCAGCAGGCCGTGCTCCTGGGCAGCACGTCTAGCCCCACCACCCTCACTGCCAGTCAGGCTCATATGTACCTGCGTGCCCAGATGGTAAGTCCCCAGGAGCATGCCCACTGGCACACACTAGCTGGCTTAGCCACACCTCTGGAGGCTTAGTGTGATGGAAGTGTTTGTGTGTGCTGTTTGTGTCGCCACTGTTGGAAGGAGTGTAGTAGGAGGGTTGTCCTGCATCTCAAACTGAATCAGTTCAGTCTGATTAGATCACATTTTTAAAAGATATTTGGACACATGATGCATGGGGAGAGTTAGTGTGAAAGAAAGCGACAGAGAAAAATCTGATGCTTACAGTATTATTTTTCTGTGCCCAAACCCATGGAGGAATTGTCTACATACAGTTGAAGTCGGAAGTTTACATACACTTAGGTTGGAGTCATTAAAACGAGTTTTTCAACCACTCCACAAATGTATTGTTAACTAACTATAGTTTTGGCAAGTCAGTTAGGAAATCTACTTTGTGCATGACACAAGTAATTTTTCCAACAATTGTTTACAGACAGATTATTTCACTTATAATTCACTGTATCACAATTCCAGTGGGTCAGAAGTTTACATACACTATGTTGACTGTGCCTTTAAACAGCTTGGAGAATTCCAGAAAATTATGTCATGGCTTTAGAAGCTTCTGATAGGCTAATTGACATAATTTGAGTCAATTGGAGATGTACCTGTGGATGTATTTCAAGGCCTACCTTCAAACTCAGTGCCTCTTTGTTTGGCATCAGGGGAAAATCAAAAGAAATCAGCCAAGACCTCCACAAAAAATGGTAGACCTCCACAAATCTGGTTCGTCCTTGGGAGCAATTTCCAAATGCCTGAAGGTACCACGTTCATCTGTACAAACAATAGTACACAAGTATAAATACCATGGGACCACGCACCCGTCATACCGCTCAGGAAGGAGACGCGTTCTGTCTCCTAGAGATGAACGTACTTTGGTGTGAAAAGTGCAAATCAATCCCAGAACAACAGCAAAGGACCTTGTGAAGATGCTGGAGGAAACAGGTACAAAAGTATCCTATATCGACATAACCTGAAAGGCCGCACAGCAAGGAAGAAGCCACTGCTCCAAAACCTCCATAAAAAAGCCAGACTACGGTTGCAATTGCACATGGGGACAAAGATCATACTTTTTGGAGAAATGTCCTCTGGTCTGATGAAACAAAAATAAAACTGTTTGGCCATAATGACCATTGTTATCTTTGGAGGAAAAAGGGGGAGGCTTGCAAGCCGAAGAACACCATCCCAACCATGAAGCACGGGGGTGGCAGCATCACGCTGTGGGGGTGCTTTGCTGCAGGAGGGACTGGTGCACTTCACAAAATAGATGGCATCATAAGGAAGGAAAATTATGTGGATATATTGAAGCAACATCTCAAGACATCAGTCAGGAAGTTAAAGCTTGGTTGCAAATGGGTCTTCCAAATGGACAATGACCCCAAGCATACTTCCAAAGTTGTGCCAAAATGGCTTAAGGACAACAAAGTCAAGGTATTGGAGTGGCCATCACAAAGCCCTGACCTCAATCCTATAGAACATTTGTGGACAGAACTGAAAAAGCGTGTGCGAGCAAGGAGGCCTACAAAACTGACTCAGTTACACCAGCTCTGTCAGGAGGAATGAGCCAAAATTCACCCATCTTATTGTGGGAAGCTTGTGGAAGGCTACCTGAAACGTTGACCCAAGTTAAACAATTTAAAGGCAATGTTACCAAATACTAATTGAGTATGTAAACTTCTGACCCACTGGGAATGTGATGAAATAAATAAAAGCTGAAATAAATCATTCTATCTACTATTATTCTGACACTTCACATTCTTAAAATAAAGTGGTGATCCTAACTGACCTAAGACAGTGCATTTTGACTAGGATTAAATGTCAGGAATTGTGAAAAACTGAGTTTAAATGTATTTGGCTAAGGTGTATGTAAACTTCCGACTTCAACTGTATATGTTGGTGTGTGATTTTCAGGCACAGCAAAGCAACCTTGTGCAAGTTGCTAGGAGCCTAGGCCGTGCTGTTCCTTTGTCCCCCCAGCTCATCTTCACACCTACGGCCACAGTGACTGCAGTCCAGTCTGAGAGCTCCACGCAGTCCTCTGGACAACAGTCTGCCTCCTCACAGGTACACTATTATTATCTCAACTCTATATGATAACACCATACACACAGAGTTGCTGTAGTAACTTGGAACTGCACTAGATGGCATATAAGATCAACATAATGAACCATAATTGATACAGGGGGATAGCAAATGCATTATGTTTACAGTTATGCTGTGATAACTCATTTAGTTATCCAAAAAAGTTTATTTCTCACTAATTCTGGAGATGGCCTGTGGGTGGACCCTTGACTGTGGGGCACCCCACCTCTCTTGCCCCAGGCCATGTGTCATTGCCTCCAGCACCTGACCTCTGTGTCTTTCCAGGTCCAGAACCTGGCTATCCGTAGCCAGCAGGGGGCGACCATGTCCTCCTTTCAAACACACAACCTCCAGGCCCTCAGCCTAAAGCAGACCCCTGTCTCCATCCAGCCCTCTCCCCTGATCAAAAACCCCAGCCAGGGGAGCCGGGGCGCTGGAGGGAAGGGCAGCTCGTCCGACGGCCCCTTAGATGGGAGCAAGAAGGGGGAGAGCATTGTGACGGAGGTGCGCGCCATAAACATGAGTCGCAGCGTCACAGCTGTGAGTGGCCAGCCTCTCAACACTCCAGGTATGTATCCAACCCTAACGTTCGCTAGCTTCTACAGACACAGGCTTTTATATTATTTCATGAAGTTGACACCATTGCCCGCTTGGAGATTTAGTCAGGTTTGCTGAAATGATGTATTGTTTTTTGTCCAGCATCATTAAATCCACTGGCTGTTGAGAGAAGGCATGGTTTTTGCTGTGCTCCGTGATGTGATCTAAGATGTGTTAAATAAATTATATCCAGCTCAGGGCTCCAGCTATGCATTTGGTTTGCTAACTTGCTAGTAGCTAAGTGGCTAGATGTCAAGATAAAGCTTCTTGGTTACAGCGGAGACATTCAATCCCCTCCTGGATCAAGATCCCTGTTGCCTAAATTGTTTTGTGCGTACAAAATAAATAGCGCCCCTTGTGTGCATTCCTGGTAATACAGTGTACCTCAGAATGGTACAGAAATGGTATGAAAATCTGGATACCGCCCAACCCCTACTCTGTGCCACAGATGCGTCTTTCTAGACCACTTATTGTGTGACTGAAAGTCAGCAGCTGGGTGGTTTTGTCACAGAGAATGGCTGTGTATATGCCAGCAGTTGAACAGAATAACTCTGACTGAGTGTGTATGTGTGTGAGAGAGTGCGTGTGCTAAGCGCTGCAAGGGTGAACTTTGTGTGTTGTGCCATACGCCAGACTGGACGGATTAGCTGAGCGTGCGACTGCACAACTGTGCCTTTGTCTCGCTTTGTTAAAGTAATGGATTCTGATTAAAACGAAAGGATGGATGAATCTGAAAACCTGGCTACATACACTCATAAAATTCAAATGGGTTGCCATGGCAGTGACAATGGGGAACAGACAGGTGTGCCCTGGAGATGTGAGAAGTATTTTGTCAGTTCACAGTGGATTAGACAAGGGGGAGATGGGCTAGCAGCCGTGGTGGCTGCCCGGCGGACTGGGGTTTAGGGTTGAATAGGGGCTCCAATTTATAGAGCTGGGTGACATGGACAAAAATTCATATCGCGATAAATAGCCTGAATTGATGCGATAAATTAAACGATAAATAGAATGATACGTTTATAACATGAATGTGCACCACATTTGTTTTAAATTATCCTTTCAACTACTACTACAAGTTTGATGGTTGTAGCCATCAATTGTGCCACTAACTGTCAACCATATTAGCAAACTTATATCATTTCAAATTTCAAATGTCTCTAGTATAGGCTACTTATCGGAATGAATGATATCCCTGCGATAAGTCCCTGCTCTACCAACTTATTCTAATGCAATGGCATCGACTGTGTCATTCATTATACATGTTGGTTCTTCAGTGGGAAGTCGGCTAGGCGAACCGAACGAGTGTTCTCGCATACCCACTTAAAAGACCTGCTTGAAAAATGAGAAAAAAGCGGCAATAGTACTGTTTGTCCCTTTTGAGACGCCGTAGCCACTATACACTTCCTCAAAATAGTCAGGATTTATCTACGGTAACGCAATAAATCTGTCATGAATTTTGACGTTTTTGACGTTTAGTCGCACAATTTTACATCTAACTAAGTTTGGTATTTCTCAATGAAAAAATGTGCATGAAAACGAGTCGTCTCTTTGTTGAATGACAACAAAGACTTTATTGAAGAATCCCTACTGTTGACCAATCACCGACAAAGGGGCATAGACTTCGGCTCCGAACTTCGGCTTGCCTCCAGAAAAAAAATTGTGCCCGAACAGCCTAAAAAAAAAACTAACCGAAGTCCAAAACAAACAAAAACGTCACAAAATTTTGTCGTAGTATATGCACAAACTCTTCCGAACTGTTTAGGTTCTGAAGCATGTGGACGCCTTTACTCTGTTAGGCAACAGAATGTTGTAATTTTGAAGAAGGTTAGACTTCAATGAAACACAAGTCCAATCTACCCCTCAATAATAATAATAATAGGCTACATAACAAATGTCTAAAGCAGTTTCACTTTCAACATGGTGTGAGAGAACACAGCACAGGAATAGGCTTAGTTTATTGTGTTGCCGTCTATTTTAGTACAGAGTAGTAATTGAGCCATTGGAGAGAAGAAGAGAGCAGATCTTGTGGGAGCAGCAGTGTGTCTGCTATTCCTACCACAGACAGGGGCTCGTTTTCCCTTGAATAGGGATTGGCTGGAAGCAGCTGTTCCGTTCATTGTGTACTTTAGTCTTTTCATCAGCACCTCCTTGGCAGACAGAAGTCTTCCCAGCACCCTACTACACCCACAGAACAGCACCGCATCAAACCCCACAAAGACCACCTTGAAGACTAACAGTCTGGTTATATGCCCCTGCTAATTGCACTGTGGTTTTCCGTTTTGTCAAAAAAAATCCAGCCCTAGCGTCAAGTCTTCTCTTCAGTCGTCTTTGTGATTTGAAGCATAGCTTTAAGTTGGTTTTAGCTAAGCATCCGTTTATGTTTGGACTGAGTGTATTATTATACCTGAAAGGATCTCCCCATTCTCTGTTAATTCACCAAGCCCTTGAGTGCTTCCATGTACCCATACATAGTATCTCCATTGCTTACTCCTTTAACAAGCACTTAAAACACAATTAGTAGAGATATGTTTGACATGTACTCAGTTTATTAGGTACATCACCCCGTTCACGAAAATGGTTCAGTCCTACAGACAGTGAGTCATGTGGCCGTGGCTTGCTATATAAAGCAGGCAGACAGGCATTGTGGCATTCAGTTACTGTTCGATTGAACGTTAGAATAGGTAAAACAACTGACCTAAGTGACTTTGAGCGTGGTATGATCGTCGGTGCCAGGCGTGCCGGTTACAGTATCTCAGAAACAGCCGGCCTCCTGGGCTTTTCAAGCACAATATTGTCTAGGGTTTACCGAGAATGGTGCGACAAACAAAAAACATCCAATCAGTGGCAGTCCTGTGACCGAAAACAGCTCGTTGATGAGAGAGGTCAAAGGAGAATGGCAAGAATCATGCAAGCAAACAGGGAGGCCACAAATAGGCAAAGTACAACAGTGGTGTGCAGAACGGCATCTCGGAGCGCACAACTCAACGGTCCTTGTCACGGATGGGCTATTGCAGCAGACGACCACACCGAGTTCCACTTCTATCAGATAAAAACAAGAAAAGTGGCTCCATTGGGCAAGAGATCACCAACACTGGACAATTGAGGAGTGGAAAAACATTGCCTGGTCCGACGAATCCCGGTTCCTGTTGCGTCATGCTGATGGCAGTCAGGATTCAGCATAAGCAGCATGAGTCCATGGCCCCATCCTGCCTGGTGTCAACGGTACAGGCTGGTGGCGGTGGTGTAATGGTGTGGGGAATGTTTTCCTGGCACACGTTAGGTCCCTTGATACCAATTGAGCAACGTTTGAACGCCACAGCGTATCTGAACATTGTTGCTGGCCAGGTGCATCCCTTCATGGTAACAGGGGGTTCCGACCCAGTACTAGATGGGTGTACCTAATAAGCTGGCCAATGAGTAGTTTTTCTCAAGCTGGGTTAAGACGTGTGTAAAGTGAGTTACACTGACGTGTGGGTGATGTTTCTAAACTAAAGCAGCAGCAGTCGATTGCAGAAACCCAGGGATTTTCCAAGGTCTGCTGTTGAAACATTTCCTCTAGACATCCTGAAACAACACACAGGCATGGGGGAGTGGTAGCGTAGTGGGTCCATAGGGGGGGGGTGTGGGGGCCTGAGTCATTCCACTCCTTAATCCCAAGGCCTTGAGGGAGAAAAAGGCATTTAAATGAATCCCCCTTCCTCTCCTTCCAAGACATTTCTCTGTTACTCATTAAAATGCTTGAGAAAGCTGTCAAGCAGGATTCTGAGTGCTGTTTCTTGTATCCGGTGAGCAGTGGTTGGGAAATCCACTCATCTATTCACACAAGGGCTAGGCCTATTTTCTGAATTGAAAGCCATTATTATACAGCCTCTGTTTTCTATTTATCCTTAATGAGGGCTGGGTGGTAGGTAGAACTTTACTGTGTTATCATGTAATTGAGAGTATCCGTCCAGGGCTTTTATCATAATACTTTCTGAAAGATGTGTCGGTCTTCACCCTGTACTTAGTGAAACCATAGCTAACCACATGCTGTGGGTTACATAGAGTTTTGTCACGTGAAAATCAAACACTTTCCAGCAGATCCTGTGGTATAATGACTAATGACATGCAATTCTGCCGGATGGAAACGTCTATTTTTTTCACTGCAGGGTAGAGACTGTGGTTACAGAGAAACATTCATACCAGAGGTAGCCTATCCTGCACAAAAGATACGGATAAGGGTGGGGACCCTTATATCTTTGGCATCAATCTGTAATCAAAAGAGATCCACAAAGGTTAAAGATAGACACTTTCAGTTTACTAAAATCATGAAGCTACTGTAAAACCCTAGGGCTTACTCCTGAGACAAACAGGTTAACAGCTCCTAGGAGAGATGATGCATGACAACCCTTTCTCTATATTTCAGTAATGATGAGGGCCAGATCCAACCTCATTGTTTCCTAGGGAAAATTGTTTAGGCAACTGAAGGCTTGGGGGATTGATTCACAGATGACTACATACAGCATGTCATAGATCATTGGCTTTTTATTGCCCTGATGCTTTCCTCCTGCATATGTCTGGCCCAGGGTGGCAGGTAGCCTAGCGGTTAAGAGCGTTGAGCCTGTAACCGAAAGGTCGCTAGTTCGATTCACCCTTGGCAAGGCACTTAACCCTAATTGCTCCTTTAAATCCCTCTGGATAAGAGCGTCTGCTAAATGACTTCTTTTTTTATTATATTGCCCTCTTGCTTTCCTCATGCACATGTCTGGCCCGGGGCTACTCTGACTATTGGTGTGTAGAGTACTTTTCACTAAAGCACAGTACAATACATGATTGGTTCTGGGAATATATGGGCTCTGGTTGTCATTTTGTCAGCAAAAGCCCTGTCAGCTGATGATAGACCCTTTGGAGACATTAGTGACTGGTCAAAACCTTGACAACGGTTTAGGGCAAGTCTGTCTTGTGCTTTTCAACAAGGTTTTGATGTTACATTTTGTCAACAATAGGTATACTGGCAAAGGAGAGTATAGAAACAAACATTATTTTACAGAGTTCCACTCTTCCATTCTTTTTTGAGTTAGGGTAGAGTCCATTTTCCTTTTGTGTACAGACTTAACTGTCAGATTTGTTTTATGTATACGATTTCTCGATTTCTGTTACAGCATACACCCAGATCCAGCCCCACTCCCTGGTCCAGCAGCATAAGCAGCAGCAGTTTGTGATCCAGCAGACCCAGGCTTCCCAGAGGACCCAGGGACAGCTACTGCAGACTGCCTCCATCCAGTCCCACCTGCAGACTCCCTCCCTGGTCCCCCAGTCCCCCAGCCAAGCAGGCCCTATCCCTGTGCTGCCCAAGCCCGCCTCTCACCACCAGCCCTCTACACCCAGCCAGCAGGCAACCATCTTCCACTCCACCATCAGCCCACATGCTCTTCACTCCAGCCTGAGCCAGGCCAAAGCCCAGCCAGTGCAACTCACAGCCATCAACCTCCAGATACAACCAGCACTCTCACAGGTGAGTACGCAGCAATCACAACAAGAAGTATGGAAATGGGAGAGGATCACTCTCACAATATACAATGCATCAGTAAACAAAATTCTGTATATCAGTAATCTCTAATCACTACTCAAATATTGTTTCACTAAACTCTCTCTCCCGCTATTCTATTACGGACTCTCAGGCTTCCAGATTGGTCCAGGACAGTAAAGGACAGGAGAAGCCGACGACATTGGTGGTCAGAGAGCGCTGCCCGACTCCCAGTGTACAGCAGCAGCCCACCCCGTTTACCCCGTCTCCACCACAAGACACCAAGCCAACAGAGCAGCCCAAGACTGACCCAGTCACGCCCATCAGCCAACCACAAGGTAACAGGACATTTTTTTAAAATAAGTTAACATGTTTTTATCACCCCCTTTCTTAGTTATGTTGCCTGGAGGCAGGACTGTAACTGGGGGTCTATTGTTGTCATATCATATATACAACCAATTAACTGGGGGTCTATTGTTGTCATATCATATATACAACCAATTTACTGGGGGTCTATTGTTGTCATATCATTTTTACAACCAATTACAACCTTGGAGAGCCAGACCAAAGATAAGCCGCTCTGCTATGTTCTGCTCTCCAGGTGGGAGATCTGTTGTCTCACTGTTTATTGTCAGCTGTGTGCTCGTGGTTTGGGTCAGGGTGAAGAATTTTGTCTGATTATCCCCAATGGGACCATTGAGGAGCAGTGAACACAGTGTTCCAGTCTAGGAAAGTTAAATGATAGATGTGTGTGTATCTATCCATCTATCTTTTACTCAAATGGAAAATAATCTGTGTTTTATGATGGTAGTCTTACACTCGCACACCCTCGCTCATTCAAAATGCTGAACATACAGATTATAGTAAGAGCTTTCATTTTTATTGCTACTTTTCTTGTAAAAATGAAATATGTAAAGCCACAAGGCTCCTTTTTATGCTTGGGTGTGAATGCATAGTCTAGGCGCTCCACTTGTTCAAAATAAACAGACAGAGTTATCTTTGATGTCTAAAAATAGAGAGGCAGGCCTGCAGGACCTCTAGCTGTCTGCTTGGACCAGATTGCAACACATTCAGAGCCTGCTGAGTGGTTGAACATAACCCAAAGTTGCAGAATAGCCAACTGCTCCTGGTTTTAATGGAGTCCCTGGTATTTATTGTGCATCTTTTGACAGACAAACCAAGAAATGTGCAGTATAGTATGTTGCCATATCAATTGGTTTGCAAGAATTGTCTGCTACATTGGGTCACAGGACCTACATTCGTATGAAGTGGTTCCTGTATGCCAATAGTTGCTCAGATAGACTTGAGACCTGTGAATTTGCAGGGCTAAGATGTATAGATTTGAAAAGAACTAGAAATGTATCTGTCAACATGAGTGAAGTGTTTCTATTTTCATGTGTGGAAATGTAAGAGTATAAGAGCAGAGTACCTGTCTATGGAGAAAAAAGAAAGGGCGGTACCTTATTCAAGTATTTCATTCTTCAGCTCTGCCTGCCTCTCCCCATTGGAGCAGAGCTGGATCGAGCGAGTGTCTCCGCTCTGTCTTGCCTGCTTTGTACGGTTGACTGAATTCTCGCTTTCAAGGAGAGAGGCAGGCGACAGCGCGTGTTTTTGTATTGAATCGGATAAAAGCGCAAGTGAAGCAGCAGGAATAATTTTGGTGAGCGAATTCTTGTTATTTCCCTTTTGAAATGGGACAGTTGTTTAACTTTTTCAGTACTTTTAAGATTTTTTACATGGTTGCAAACAGCCACTGAAGCGTCTGCTGTTTTCATGCATAGGCTACTACTCGTTTACGGTATCCATACGTGTTTTTGCTTTGGAAATTACAAACTAGTGGGCGACCCGTCAAAAATGAGCGCTGTTTTGGACTCGAATTACTTTTGACAGCCAGTTGTTTTCTTTTCATATTTTGTTATCGTGATCAATTTACATCAGTAACTAATACGCGTCTAGTGAGTGACATTACAAACGCTTGGTAATGGAAGTGGACTCCTTCGCACATGATTTGGCAGGTGTATGATAGATACAGTATATGATGCAAATGTGCTTGAGTACTTGAACCACTTTACAGCAGAGATCACAGTACATACTTTTAATAAATATTTTAGCATAATTAAAGTGAAATTAATCAATTCTTAAACATTGTGTACACATTTTGGCCACATAATTGAACGTGATGCAATGTGTTAACTGCTGCTTTGATTTGTCATTGGCAGGAGTCCCTACTACCAAGAGGTTGAATGCTGCACCTGGTACACCACCCCCAGCCATGACCTCAGGAAATGAGAACGAGGCACCCACTGTGACCGGCAGCACCCCCCAGAATGGCGAGAACAAGCCACCCCAGGCCATCGTCAAGCCCCAGGTCCTCACCCACGTCATCGAGGGCTTTGTCATCCAGGAGGGAGCTGAACCCTTCCCTGTAAGTGCCCTCTCCCATGGTACTCCTTAGCAGCTACCAGTAAACAACATGTCACCATCTCAAGAGTCCATTCCCACAGGGGCATGTCCCTATTAGCAATACATACAAACAATCAACTGCACTCACTGTGCTAAGCAATGACAAAGGGCAATGCCTTTCTATTGTTTAACTTCGTCATTCATTTTAGTAGCCTACTGTAGTACAGAATTTGTTCCAAAGCAGTGTATACAGAGATGTCTGTGAAAGAAGGCACACGCATGTTAAGACCACCTTTCCCAGTGTTATCATTCTGAGCAAAATGTTGATACACACACTTGAGTGACTTTGTAGGTGCCTGTTTTACTTATCGATTAAAGACTGTATCCTAGTGGATGTTTGCTGAACATTTCTAAGTCTTTTCTCAGGCTTTATTATAGCTTATGGACACAGCATGGTAAGTTTACCATTGTATTGCTGTCATAGCTTGGAAAGAGTGGCATTAATTTGTCACGATCTGTCGTAACCAGATTGAGCGGTTGCCTGTAATGATGGACAGCCCAAAGAAGCTGCATGAGCAGCTCTCCTCTGACCCAGACAAGACCCCTGTTAGTAACCCGACCAACACCACAGACTCTGAGACAGAGGAGCTGACCCCTCAAGGTAAGAGAGTTCATGGCTCGAGTGATTAAAGCCATGATATTTGGCTATAAACCCCATAATGGACTTTATAAATACTAACAATTCAGATGTAAGAGATGTTATTGTTCGATTATTTTGATTTGCACACAGAATTAAAAGACCAAGAGGATTCAGATGCCCCCAAACTGATCTGTGAATTCTGTGGCTGGGTGGACTTTGCCTACAAATTCAAGGGGTCAAAACGGTTCTGTTCCATGGTGTGTGCGAAAAGGTAAGTCACATTTGATGGGCCATTTCTAATGAATATGTACAAAGATGCTTTGAGTGGGTTAAATCCCTCAGGGTCAGAGCTTCTCAGTAGTGTTATCTTGGAATGGGAGTGGCCATAACAGCTATTATCCTTGTTGTTGTTGTGGAACAGGTATAATGTTGGGTGCACTAAGCGGATAGGCCTCTTCCGTCCAGAGAGGAGCAAAGCATCCAACCGCTGGCGCAGAAGGTCACACAACAGCTGCCGCCAGAGTGTCGAGCCTAAGAAGCAGGTAGGATCCTCTCCTACTTCTCCACTGACAGGACAACTCTCCTGTGAATTAACATGCTCCCCTCAGTGACACCAGGGCTGACTGTCATGGGTTTTGTGTTTCAGAAGCTATCCCCTACACCTCAGCAGAGCAAGGGGGGTTCAGTGTCCTCCCCGCTCCCCTCCCAACCCAGCCAGGAGGAGTCCAGCCTCTGCTCTGACATGTCCAGCTATGAGGAGACTCCGTCACCCCTGTCAGGAGCCAGTTCAGGGCCCCCAGCACCCCAGGCGTTGTCACACCAGGCAGGGAGAGGCTCAGACCAAGAGGCCACCCAGGGCAGAGCGCTACCACTCCTCACTAAGCACTTCCTGCCCAATAACCCCACCAAGTGGAATGTAGAGGAAGTCTACGAGTTCATCCACTCCCTTCCAGGTCAGTCTCATACAAACACTACATGACCAAAAGTATTTGGACACCTGCTCGTCGAACATCTCATTCTAAAATCATGGGCATTAATATGGACTTGGTCCCCCTTTGCTTCTATAACAGCCTCCACTCTTCTGGGAAGCCTTTCCACTAGATGTCGGAACATTGCTGCGAGGACTTGCTTCCATTCAGCCACAACAGCATTAGTGAGGTCGGGCACTGATGTTGGGTGATTAGGCCTGGCTTGCAGTCGGCTTTTCAATTCATCCCAAAGGTGTTCGATGGGGTTGAGGACAGGGCTCTGTGCAGGACAGTCAAGTTCTTCCACACCGATCTCGACAAACCATTTCTGTATGGACCTCGTTTTGTGCACGGGGGAATTGTCATTCTGAAACAGGAAAGGGCCTTCCCCAAACTGTTGCCACAAAGTTGGAAACACAGAATCATCTAGAATGTCATTGTATGCTGTAGCATTAAGATTTCCCTTCACTGGAACTAAGGGGCCTAGCCCAAACCATGAAAAACAGCCCTAGACCATTACTCCTCCTCCACCAAACTTTACAGTTGGAACTATGCATTGGAGCAGGTAGTGTTCTCCTGGCATTCGCCAAACCCAGATTCGTACATTGGACTGCCAGATGGTGAAGCGTGATTCACTACTCCAGAGTCCAATGGCGGCGAGCGCTACACCACTCCAGCCGACGCTTGGCATTGCGCATGGTGATCTTAGGCTTGTGTGCTGGTGATTTTAGGCTTGTGTGCGGCTGCTCGGCCATGGAAACCCATTTCATGAAGCTCCCGACGAACAGTTATTGTGCTGCCATTGCTTTCAGAGGCAGTTTGGAACTCGGTAGTGAGTGTTGCTACGCGCTTCATCACTCGGCGGTCCCGTTCTGTGAGCTTGTGTGGCCTACCACTTCGCGGCTGAGCCGTTGTTGCTTCTAGACGTTTCCACTTCACAATAACAGCACTTACAGTTGACCGGGGAAGCTCTAGCATGGCAGAAATTTGACAAACTGACTTGTTGGAAAGGTGGCATCCTATAACTGTGCCACGTTGAAAGTCACTGAGCTCTTCAGTAAGGCCAATGTTTGTCTATGGAGATTGCATGGCGGTGTACTCGATTTTATACACCTGTCAGCAACGGGTGTGGCTGAAATAGCTGAATCCACTAATTTGAAGGGTTGTCCACATACTTTTGTATATATAGTGCATTTAGCTAGGCCTACACCATAACTACATTCTTCTGTAGGTATGATGTTGTGATGATAGTACGCTTATTTCCCCTATGGGGATCAATAAAGTTTATTCATTCATCAGTGGATTGTCTTTGAAATTAGATCATTATTTAACTGGTTCACTGTGGCTTGTTGTTCCTAGGCTGCCAGGAGATAGCAGATGAGTTCCGCTCGCAGGAGATAGACGGGCAGGCCATGCTTCTACTAAAAGAGGACCACCTTATGAGTGCCATGAATATTAAACTGGGACCTGCACTTAAGATCTACGCACACATCAACATGCTCAAAGACTCTTAGCCATGATGGGTCGATATAGTGCTGGTTTGTGTGTTTGTTGTATGTGTTTGTATGTCTGTGTATGGTGTGCGAATGAGTGCATGTGCATATGTCTGTCTGTGTTTGGTGGGAAGGAGTCACACTCTGGGACAAGACGAAACATGTCGCCATTGCACTGATGACTACCTTACCTCTGCACTACCATCTTTCATCCCACCTTTGGATTGGCTACTTCACGGTACATTTAGTCATGGCCTGCAAACAGATAGATAGACAACTGTTCATCCCTTTGGCTGTCAAAGAGAACAGTTTACAGGAAATTGAATGGACTGACTGCCTTAGAATAATGGCACTAATAGTGCTAAAAGCACTGCAAGGATACCTTTGAGCCTGTTTGAAAAGAGAGATATGGGTATTCAGTATCAGTCAAAAGTTTGGACACATACTCATTCCAGGGTTTTTCTTTATTTTTACTATTTTCTACATTGTAGAATAATAGTTAAGACATCAAAACTATTAAATAACACATATGGAATCATGTAGTAACCAAAAAAGTGTTAAATATAAAATATATTTTGATTTGTTTGAGATTCTTCAATGTAGCCACCCTTTGCCTTTGACAGCTTTGCACACTCTTGGCATTCTCTCAACCAGCTTCATGAGGAATGCTTTTCCAACAGTCTTGAAGGAGTTCCAACATATGCTGAGCACTTGTTGGCTGCTTTTCCTTCGCTCTGCGGTCCAACTCATCCCAAACGATCTCAACTGGGTTGAGGTCGGCTGATTGTGGAGGCCAGGTCATCTAATGCAGCACTCCAGCACTGTCCTTCTTGGTCAAATAGCCCTTACACAGCCTGGAGGTGTGTTTTGGGTCATTGTCCTGTTGAGAAACAAATGATAGTCCCACTAAGCGCAAACCAGATGGGATGACGTACGCTGCAGGATGCTGTGGTAGCCGTACTGGTTAAGTGTGCCTTGAATTCTAAACAAATCACTGACAGTGTCACCAGCAAAGCACACCATCACACCACCTCCTCCATGCTTCACGGTGGGAACCACACATGCAGAGATCATCCGTTCACCTACTCTGCGTCTCACAAAGAGACGGCTGTTGGAACCAAAAATCTCACATTTGGACTCATCAGACCAAAGGACATATTTCCACTGGTCTAATGTCCATTGCTCGTGTTTCTTGGCCCAAGCAAGTCTCTTCTTCTTATTGGTGTCCTTTAGTAGTGGTTTCTTTGCAGCAATTAGAACATGAAGGCCTGATTCACGCAGTCTCCTCTGAACAGTTGATTTTGAGATGTGTCTGTTACTTGAACTCTGAAGCATTTATTTGGGCTGCAATCTGAGGTGCAGTTAACTATAATGAACTTATCCTCTGCAGCAGAGGTCTGGGTCTTCCATTCCTGTGGCGGTCCTCATGAGAGCCAGTTTCATCATAGCGCTTGATGGTTTTTGCGACTGCACTAGAAGAAACTTTCAAAGTTCTTGAAATGTTCCGCATTGACTGACCTTCATGTCTTAAAGTAATGATGGACTGTGGTTTCTCTTTGCTTCTTTGAGCAGTTTTGCCATAATATGGACTTGGTCTTTTACCAAATAGGGCTGTCTTCTGTATACCACCCCTACCTTGTCACGTCACAACACAACTGATTGGTTCAAATGCATTAAGAAGGAAAGAAATTCCACAAATTAACTTTTAAGAAGGCACACCTGTTAATTGAAATGTATTCCACGTGACTACATCATGAAGCTGGTTGAGAGAATGCCAAGAGTGTGCAAAGCTGTCATCAAGGCAAAGGGTGGCTACTTTGAAGAATCTCAAATATAAAATATATTTTGATTTGTTTAACACTTTTATTGGTTACTACATAATTCCATATGCGTTATTTCATAGTTTTGATGTCTTCACTATTATTCTACAATGTAGAAACTAGTACAAATAAAGAAAAACCCTTGAATGAGTAGGTGTGTTCAAACTTTTGACTGGTACGTTATATGAAATACTTTCTCCTGAAATATAAATCTGAATTTAATTATAATCGACTGCATACGTAGTATGTTTCTTTTGGTGCTGATCTGATGTTATTGACAGCCATACATGTACTTTGTGTGTCCTGGGACAAATGAAAGCTGTCACCAGTCTGAGTCTTATCCAACAGATGCTAAGCTCCATTTCGTAATGATCACCAACTATACACATACACTGCATGGCATTTGACTGTGCTCAGAGCAGTTTACGCTATTGCTTGATTTTGGTTTGTGACATTGATTTTGGTTTCATGTACAAAATCGTACTTTCCCTGTACATTGTACTGGCTTAGAAGACACTAAACCTTTTTCCAAACGTGATTTACCAAGACATCATGCCATACTTTATTTATTCCTGGGTCAGATTTCACATCCTGTGAGGTCTTCTATGACTGTAGGTCTTCTTGACCCATACGATCTATGGGTTGACCCCAGGGCTGAAAAGACCCAACTCAAGGAACTCACTGTGGACATTCACCATCATATCTCTTACTCCACTAGCCCTTAAAATGATTGGTTCTATTCTCTTTAGTTTTAATTAAAACAACCAAAATGACTTGATTTGGCCTGAAATTCAAAAGTTAGGTTTAGTTTGAGTTGTCGAGCTATTTTGCTCCTGGGAAAGACTGTTAGTTCTGTAGGAGTCTAAAGCTACCTGTAAGGAATTACATGCCTGCATTTGCTTTTTAAGTTATCCATAATTGTTATATGAAAATTAAGTATTTAGAAATATGCAAACATGTAAATATCATGGCTCGAGGGAGGTGTCTTTTTAGTGTTTTTATAAAAATCTTGTTTACTTGTGCTTGTCATGTAAATGAATGGTCAATTGTGTTTTTAATTATTTGTTTGAGTACTTTGTCAAATGCCTGTATTTATCAAATAACTGAATTTGTTACGCAACATTTTTCAATGATAAATAATCTGCAACATAATCAGTTATATATAGTTCTTATTCTTTTTGTGTAAAAATCTATATGTGCTTGAGTTTGATACTATGGCATGTTCAGTGCAGTAGCAAGACCAATGGCTTCACTGATCCTTTGGGTGAATTGCAGTTCTTTACAGTCAGTATCTGGTGTGACTGCCATTTGCCTCATGCAGCGCGACATCTCCTTCACATAGAGTTGATCAGGTTGTTTATTGTGGCCTGTGGAATGTTGTCCCACTTCTCTTCAATGGCTGTACGAAGTTGCTGAATATTGGCAGGAACTGGAACACGCTGTCATACATAATCGATCCAGAGCATCCCAAACATGCTCAATGGGTGACATGTCTGGTGAGTATGGAGGCCGTGGAAGAACTGGGACATTTTCAGCTTCCAGGAATATGTACAGATCCTTGCGACATAGGGCTGTTCATTATGCTCAAACATGAGGTGATGGCAGCAGATGAATGGCACAACAATAGGCCTCAGGATCTCGTTACGGTATCTCTGTGCATTCAAATTGCCATCGATAAAATGCAATTGTGTTAGTTGTCCGTAGTTTATGCCTCCTGCCCATACCATAACCCCACTGTTCACAATGTTGACATCCGCAAACCGCTCACCCACACGACGCCATACACCTGGTCTGCAGTTGTGAGGCCGGTTGGATGTACTGCCAAATTCTCTAAAACGACATTGACTTATGGTAGAGAAATTAACATTAAATTCTCTGGCAACAGCTCTGGTGGACATTCCTGCGGTCATCATGGCAATTGCACACTCCCTCAAAACTTGAGACATCTGTGGCATTGTGTTGTGTGACAAAATTGCACATTTTAGAGTGGCCTTTTATTGTCCCCAGCAGAAGGTGCACCTGTTTTAATGATCATGCTGTTTAATCAGCTTATTGATATGCCACACCTGTGAGGTGGATGGATTATCTTAGCAAAGGTGAAATGCTCACTAACATGGATATAAACAAATTTGTGCACAACATTTGAGAGAAATAAGCTTTTTGTGCATATGAAACTTTTCTGGGATATTTTATTTCAGCTTTTGTTTCAGCTCATGGAACATGGGTCCAACACTTTGCTGGTTGCGTTTATATTTTTGTTCAGGATAGTAACTTGGTTATTTTGTCACATGTATCCTGTCCTCTAGTGGTGCTTAGAGGGTAGTGCTTGTACAACAGTTGAGTAGTTTGGTCAATGTAAAGTGTGTTTGAATCGAATAGGTTGGGAATTGAAAAGTTGGTCGAGTGAGTGCTTAAGTGCAACGTCTCCCTTTCAATAATAATGTATACAATTGAATAGGATGTGTGACAGACAAATATCACTATTCAGAGCTCAGGATCAATTATATATAAAAAAAATATATATATATATATATATATATATATATATATATATATAGTGTAGAAACGCATTAAATGAACCTCAAGTTTATTCCTTGGGGGGGTAATAGTTCTAGAGATGACTTGATTAATTTCTTACCACTAAAGAGTGTATGGTCTATGTGACTGTATAGTACTGTGGCTTTGTTTTAGGGTAGGACTACCCAAATGCCAATCACATCTAGTTGCCATGGTACGTTCACACCTCTGGTATGCTTTGTAACACATTTTTAAAACGGCCTAATATGGACATTTCCGGTTGTTTGACAGTTTCCATCTATTTCACTTTAGAGAGAACTTTGAAACTGCACGTGGTTACTTTATTGTTTATTCCCTGGTAACATTCTACATAAAGGCGAACTTTGTATCATTCCTACTTGTCAAAACATTGCAGTTGCATCGCAAGGACAGTCTCCGGGCTGAACTAGAAAAACACGTCAGGGCACGCCCCTCTGTTTTGATTCAACCATGGAGCAAACCATCTGTCTGTCTATTATATTGAGTTTGAAACCAGAACATAAAACGAAAGGACAATTTTTATGGGTAAGTTAAATTCATAAATATATTTACATCTCAAATATCTAGAGCATTTAATTTTGTAGTAGGCTTATGCTTACTACATATGGAACCGTCAGGCATAAATAGTATCCCCCACTCACGTAATGGTTTGGTCTGCTTTTAAACTTCAGAGCGCCGATGTTTAACTGTAGCAGACAGACGCATCCCTGCTATATTCATGTGCTACACAGTTGCATTTGATCGTCTGCATATAATTTAAAACTTCACACTGATTTACAAACGTTGTCTGGAGACTCAACACAATTGCTGGTGAGTTTGGTTCTCTCTTTAATAATTGAATAAGCTAACCAAAATGCAGTCTGACATTTTTTTCATACCCCGTTTTGTTGATGGTGAATATGTATTACCAGTATCGACATACCAAATAATATTATGAGACCATGATTACTTTATTTTCATGGTCCAGTCATGCAGAATGCAAACCCAATAGAAGAGGTGGGAGGCGACACACCCTGTGATGTGCCCTGTCTCCAGAAAATTGAATCCCCAACAGGTAACAGGCACTCCTCATGATCAGCTATTGGTATGGATTCATATGTTGAATTATGTGATTTTGTGGTTTTGTTGGTATTTGGTGTGTAATAAGGGTATTTCACTTCTCTCTCTCTCTCTCCTCTCTCTGCATGTGTCTGTCTGTCTGTGTGTGTGTGTGTGTGTGTGTGTGTGTCTGTCTGTCTTTATTTTCCAGGGAGCCCTCCCAAACAAGCCTCTCTCGCAGATATGATGGAGTTGGAGAATTGTGTTTCCAATCTCAGCCTTGCACATGAGATCGTGATCAACAGAGACTTCAGCTTCAGACAGAACAGCCCACCCAAAGACAGGCAAGACTAGTTATGAAACACACACACACCATTTCTGTGTAATGATGGTCAATAATCACTGTATGATCATATTATCAGTCACTTTGAAGTCACTGCTTTTTAATCATGATTTATTTTTAGCTTGGAAGGGAGAGTGACTGACATAGTTCACAGTGCTTTCTGGGACTGTCTTCATGAGCAGCTTTCATGTAGCCCTCCAGACTATATCCATGCAGTCATTCTGCTACAAGAGGTGAAAACTGTGAGTATGGTCATGTACCTTTACTAGCTCACTCCTTCCCTCAGTTTCTCAGCATAGTATAGCAAACAAAGAAAGGCTAAGTGACCCACTGTGTGGTTGTCCCCTGTGTGGTCAGACCGTGTTGTCCCTGCTCCTTCCTGGCCATGTGCGTCTGAAGGCCCAGGTGGAGGAGGTTCTGGACCTGGAGCTGATCCAGCAGCAGGCAGATCACGGGGCCCTGGACCTTCAAAGACTGTCAGGCTACATCATCAATACCATGGCCTCCCTGTGTGCCCCTGTACGGGACCCAGAGATCAAGACACTACGGGATCTCTCGGAACCAGTGGAGCTCCTAAGGTGAGGGACAGGCTCAATTAACTCATTTTATGATAAAAATGTAATTATGTAGCATAATATCAGATATGAAAATGTAACCAAATTACCTTGGGAAAGACAACATCTCAGAATAGTTCAACTCTGGGAAGCTCCTTCCCAGACGATTCCCCTACTCATTCATAGTTACTTTGGGTATGGTCCACACATGTCCAGTAATGAACCAAGGCCTACTTGTGGTTTAATGCTAAGACATATTTTCCTTTCCTGACTAACAGGGAGATCTTCAGAGTCCTTGGCCTGATGAAGACAGACATGGTCAACTTCACCGTACAGAGCCTCAGACCTAATCTTCTTCAGCAGGCTGTCCAATACGAGCGAGCCAAGTTCCAGGAGATCCTAGAGAAGCAGCCTGGTGAGTGAGACAATGTTCTAAGAGAAAATCTACACTTAAAAGCATTTCAGTCCTGACAAATCTGACATGCTCCTAACATCCAGAAGGAAGAACCTGTGCTTCTACATCTGCATTGCTTGCTTTTTGGGGTTTTAGGCTGGGTTTCTGTATAAGCACTTTGTGACATCTGCTGATATAAAAAGCTTTATACATTTATTTGATTGATTGATTGAACTCGGTTGGAAGGATAATCACTTTAATCGCATTCACACTTTCCATCAAATAAATGTCAGGAACTTCAAAACTGATATTGTTTGTCTAATGATGGTTTCCATATGTTTCTGTTGTTTATTCTATAATTGTATAAACTGCTTTTCTAACCATCCTTTTCAAGAGTTCCTGGACAATACCACCATTTGGCTTCAAGTGGCAGCACGAGAGGAGGCATCGGTCAGTGCCCAGTCTGACCTTGACCCTGGAACTCCCAGGCCACGTGGTCCAGTAAGTCCTACTGCTGTCCTGAACAGGGCTTACCTGCGACTGCTGAGCTGGGACCCCCATGACCAGAACTACCCTGAGGTAATCAAACAACGAGGACCCTGATTGGTTCTGTCTTCCCAGTGGCATAACAAGGATGTAGACAGTTCATGTAGTTTAGTGGAGAATATAATCCAGGAAGAAGGTGGTTGAAGACATTTTCAGCAAGGAAATGACATCAGGGAATTATCAGTGAATGGATGAATCACCTATTGCTCCAACAAATTAATAGATTGAGATTACATAATAATAATTCCCTGTGGTTTCACCCCCACGTATCTACTGGAAAATATTTTATAGTCCAAATTTCTCCTCTCCCTCCACAGACAGTTCTGATGGACAGAGCCCGCTTGGACGCACTGGGGAAGAGGCTGATCCTGCTGGTTCTTGAGGCATCAGTTCTGCTGTTGACCAGCACACAATGTGGGGGCGCTGTTTTCTCTCTGCAGGGGTTTGTAGTTAAACTCAAGCAGACCATCACTGCCCTGCTGGAGGGCAGTCACAGCAGGTAAGAGATGGGGGGGGGGTTTACTGGCTGTCTCGGGGCACAGGTAATGTATAACAGAAGAAGTATGGAAGTTGACAAAAGAGCCCAGCTGCCACACTTCAAATGTCTGCAACAAACCCCGGCTTCTGCAGGCTCAGTTAATAAACATTTAAAATACAAATGTTTATACATGATTTCATAAAGCTATTCATGCTGTACTCTCTAAAGTACAATCAAATGTATTATTGACAGTTCAATAAATCATCCTGCAGTTGTTCTGAATGGATGTTTGACACCAGTCTCTCTGGTGCGTTCAGGGACTTTGACCTGCAGGGGGCGTTGCTGGGGCTGGGGGAGCAGGTGCTGGTGCAGGTGAAGGAGGCTCTGATCACCCAGGAAGGACCAGCGCTGCCTCAGGACAGTGAAGACGTGCTTAAGGGACAGATCTCAGACCTGGCCAAGGACAACAACCCCATCCACACTCTCATAGGTCAGTCACCACCGGTGAGGGGCAACCCAAATCTGACCACCCAAGTTCAAGTACAGCAGTTCTTAAGACACTGCTTCAGCATTCCAGAGTAACTAGTTGCATGAGTACCATGTTAATCCTGAGATATGTGGAGGTCAATTTAACCATTACTGATGCAATTATGATTTTCATACAGTTGTACAGTTTAGCAAGCTATGTTCTGTGTCTGCGAAGGTTCTTGTATGTCAGATGGGCAATGCAGCAGGCTGATTTCTCTCTCTTTGCATCTCACACATATTGTAGGAGAAAGAGTGCAGGGTTACCTCCAGGCCATGCTGGAGGGAGGCCCCACTAAAAGGAGTCCGTCCATGCCCCCTGCCCTGAGGCTGCTGAGTGCTGAGGTGGCAGAGCTGGGAATGGCCTTTGGGCGAATGGTCCATTTCAACCGCTCAGTCTTCGGCCCCTTCTACGCCCCCATCCTCAGGAAGTTGCTGTTCCCATTGGGAGAGGCCGAGATGGGGGAGGACTCCCGCTAGTCCCCTCAACACCTCAGGTCACCTGCATAAGCTGCCATTCAACATTTACACAATGTAGAGTGTATATACTGTATATTTAGACTTTAGAATATAAAAACGTTAGCAACATTTGTTAAACCAAAAACACATGACAGGCCATGAGATAAGTGGAATATTCTTCCATACAATCATACTGGAATTTATTTTCCTCAGGACACATTCGTTGTGGCAACCCTTGTGATAATCATTTTACTAATATCTAGAGTTTGCATGTATGTCAGCTGTAATTGATTGTATGTGCATTAGCTGGAGATTATGTGTAGGTACAGTAGGATTGAGATTCTTGAATGGTATGTACTGTATAACTTAAAGCACTTACCAAATATATGTATGCACTTTAGAACAATTTAAAATACTGTACATCTATATTTTAATCTTTTGGAACTGTACATTACATAATTTGTGAAATATGTTGGGGGATTATTGAGTGAAATTTTTTATGCATTCTGACCAACTGAACAAAAATATAAATGCAACATGTAAAGTGTTGGTCCCATGTTTCATGAGCTGAAATAAAATATCCCAGACATTTTCCATACGCACAAAAAGCTTATTTCTCACAAATTATGGGCACAAATGTGTTTACATCCCTGTTAGTGAGCATTTCTCCTTTGCCAAGATAATCCATCCACCTGACAGGTGTGGCATATCAAGAAGCTGATTAAACAGCATGATCATTACACAGGTGCACCATGTGCTGGGGACAATAAAAGGCCACTCTAAAATGTGCAGTTTTGTCACACAACTCAATGCCACAGATGTCTCAAGTTTTGAGGGCACGTGCAATTGGCATGCTGGTTGCAGGAATGTCCACCAGAGCTGTTGCCAGAGAATTGAATGTTAATTTCTCTACCATAAGCCGCCTCCAACGTCATTTTAGAAAATTTGGCAGTACGTCCAACTGGCCTCACAACTGCAGACCATGTACGTGTATGGCGTTGTGTGGGCGTGCGGTTTGCTGATGTCAACGTTGTGAACAGAGTGCCCTATGGTGGCGGTAGTATGGGCAGGCATAAGCTACGGACAACGAACACAATTGCATTTTATCTATGGCAGTTTGAATGCACAGAGATACCGTGACGAGATCCTGAGGCCCATTGTCGTACCATTCATCCACCGCCATCACCTCATGTTTCAGCATGGTAATGCACGGCCCCATGTCACAAGGATCTGACCACAATTCCTGGAAGCTGAAAATGTCCCAGTTCTTCTATGGCCTGCATACTCACCAGACATGTCACCCATTGAGCATGTTTGGGATGCTCCGGATCAACATGTACGACAGCGTGTTACAGTTTCTGACAATATCCAGCAACTTCACACAGCCATTGAAGAGGAGTGGGACAACATTCCACAGGCCACAATCAACAGCCTGACCAACTGTATGTGAAGGAGATGTGCTGCGCTGCATGAGGCAAATGGTGGTCACACCAGATACTGACTTTTTTTGATCCACACCCCTACCCTTTTAAAAAAGGTATCTGTGACCAACGGATACATATACAGTGGGGAAAAAAAGTATTTAGTCAGCCACCAATTGTGCAAGTTCTCCCACTTAAAAAGATGAGAGAGGCCTGTAGTTTTCATCATAGGTACACGTCAACTATGACAGACAAACTGAGATTTTTTTTCTCCAGAAAATCACATTGTAGGATTTTTTATGAATTTATTTGCAAATTATGGTGGAAAATAAGTATTTGGTCAATAACAAACAAGCAAGATTTCTGGCTCTCACAGACCTGTAACTTCTTCTTTAAGAGGCTCCTCTGTCCTCCACTCGTTACCTGTATTAATGGCACCTGTTTGAACTTGTTATCAGTATAAAAGACACCTGTCCACAACCTCAAACAGTCACACTCCAAACTCCACTATGGCCAAGACCAAAGAGCTGTCAAAGGACACCAGAAACAAAATTGTAGACCTGCACCAGGCTGGGAAGACTGAATCTGCAACAGGTAAGCAGCTTGGTTTGAAGAAATCAACTGTGGGAGCAATTATTAGGAAATGGAAGACATACAAGACCACTGATAATCTCCCTCGATCTGGGGCTCCACGCAAGATCTCACCCCGTGGGGTCAAAATGATCACAAGAACGGTGAGCAAAAATCCCAGAACCACACGGGGGGACCTAGTGAATGACCTGCAGAGAGCTGGGACCAAAGTAACAAAGCCTACCATCAGTAACACACTACGCCGCCAGGGACTCAAATCCTGCAGTGCCAGACGTGTCCCCCTGCTTAAGCCAGTACATGTCCAGGCCCGTCTGAAGTTTGCTAGAGTGCATTTGGATGATCCAGAAGAGGATTGGGAGAATGTCATATGGTCAGATGAAACCAAAATAGAGCTTTTTGGTAAAAACTCAACTCGTCGTGTTTGGAGGACAAAGAATGCTGAGTTGCATCCAAAGAACACCATACCTACTGTGAAGCATGGGGGTGGAAACATCATGCTTTGGGGCTGTTTTTCTGCAAAGGGACCAGGACGACTGATCCGTGTAAAGGAAAGAATGAATGGGGCCATGTATCGTGAGATTTTGAGTGAAAACCTCCTTCCATCAGCAAGGGCATTGAAGATGAAACGTGGCTGGGTCTTTCAGCATGACATGATCCCAAACACACCGCCCGGGCAATGAAGGAGTGTCTTCGTAAGAAGCATTTCAAGGTCCTGGAGTGGCCTAGCCAGTCTCCAGATCTCAACCCCATAGAAAATCTTTGGAGGGAGTTGAAAGTCAGTGTTGCCCAGCGACAGCCCCAAAACATCACTGCTCTAGAGGAGATCTGCATGGAGGAATGGGCCAAAATACCAGCAACAGTGTGTGAAAACCTTGTGAAGACTTACAGAAAACGTTTGACCTGTGTCATTGCCAACAAAGGGTATATAACAAAGTATTGAGAAACTTTTGTTATTGACCAAAGACTTATTTTCCACCATAATTTGCAAATAAATTCATTAAAAATCCTACAATGTGATTTTCTGGATATTTTTTTCTCATTTTGTCTGTCATAGTTGACGTGTACCTATGATGAAAACTACAGGCCTCTCTCATCTTTTTAAGTGGGAGAACTTGCACAATTGGTGGCTGACTAAATACTTTTTTTCCCCACTGTAACTGTATTCCCAGTCATGTGAAATCCATAGATTAGGGCCTAATGAGTAACTCAGTAAAATCGTAGAAGTTGTTGCATGTTGCGTTTATATTTGTGTTCAGTATATAATACTTAAAAGAATGTTATGACCTGTTATTCTTTTTCATTTTTTCAATATGATTTTTATTTCAAACAAGTTCATGAAGAGGAGACAAAATTCAGTTATCATTTATGATGTTTGGTTTAAGAGTAATGAGAAAAACATATTCAAAAGGAAAGACTAAGGATGGTGGAGTTTGTTTTTCTTAGTCAGCGGTAAGTAACCCTAAGCACAATATACTACTCCCAACATAAATGACAAATCGATATACCTATACATAAACCATATATACTGTAAATACACTTACATATCTTATAAAGAACTTCTGAAGTATAAAAGTGTGGGTATAAGGCCATATTATCTTGGTCAATAATCTTCTGTAGTAATTTCTAGGGTAAAGTATTAGGCCATCACTGCCCTTAACAAATAATCGAGGTGCCTCCCAGCCTGATGGAATTGAGCATGCCACTGACATCTCATTACAGAGTTAAACATTATTATATTATAACCACACTTCATCATTGGAGGCCTTAGCCTAATGCAGGGATGGGTAACTTGTAGCCCAGGGGAGTCATGCACCCCCAAAATCTAAGGGGGCATAAAGTACGTAAGGATCGCTGGGAGGTAGAGAATAAATTGAAGAATTTGGCATTTTTCAAACACCTGAAACAGCTTTTTCCTGCAATATATAGCCATAAACATTATGCTTAATTCTATGTCAAAAATATACGTATAATTTTATGCATAGCTAAGCATACCTCTTGAGCTGTCTGTATCGTCCTGACTGGTAAAAAAAAAAAACTTGGAAACATGGCTGCATGGGTTTGCTGGCTGCTGGATTTCTCTTAATGTGACTCTGTGTATCCAATGGCAATGTCCGCTTTAGGTAGAATGCCGGGAGACACTTGTGGATTTGACAGCTCTACTGCAGTTCCACCTCCGACACCGCCAAAACAACCGCTATGCGGATGTTGGCTAAAGCGGATCTGATTGAATAGAGCCCTTAGTTATTGCTTGCTTTTCTAAAGTCTACCAACTTTGCCAGCTAAGATAGACAAGCTAGCTACTCTAACTTGATTAATTGCCTGAAATGGCTTCTTGGTAGCTAGTTATGAGGTTGGGAGATTAGGCTAGCTAAAGCCAACTTCATGAAGTTGCTAAGTGGCTAGTATTATTACATTTTTAACAGGACAAATCTGAAGGGGCTCCCTATGGGCATGGTACCTCTGTTGTGGCCCCCAGCCCCATCAAAGTTGCCCATTTCTGGCCTACTTATTCACTACATACTGTACATATTGTAGTATGTCAGTCTTTGAAGATCATAGCATCTGCTGGTGTTCATCCCTTTTTATACTCTTTACTTACTTGTAAGTGATTTAAACCTACAATACCATGCTAAGATCTCACACTAAATAACAGATACTGCAGCCTGTAGAAGCTACATGTGTAGAAGCTTCCAGTTTTTACAAGGGTAAAGTGTTTGTAAGTTGCATTTTCTACCTAATTTAAATCAGTTGTCCCTCCATTAAATAATATATTTCATCCTCTTACTACGTCAGTTAGCCATATGAAAATAGTGTATTTTAAAAATGCATCAGTTTATTTCCATCACATTTTCTGTTCCAAATATCTTTGCTAGTGAGGGAGTATGACTTTTGCATGCATACATCTCCTCTGCCAGTCCCTGGGCTTGTCTTAGTGACAAAGAGATGCAATTAACTCTGGCAGCTCCTTCAAACTCCCATGCAAGTAAGATGCCCTAAGACACAATCAAATACCTTAAGAATGAGATTTTCCATTGTACTATTTAATTTCAGGTATATATTGCTTTACAATTTTAAACATTATCACATTATTATTGACAAACTATACTTTGCCCACAAATACATGGGCATAGCATTATTATGCTGGTACAGTAGTTCTACATTTGATTAATGTACTCTTGTTCTCTCTTCTTGATCCTTGCAGTAACAACATGATCATCTCAAATATACCTGAATCAATACAAATTGTCATTAATGGCCCATCATAATTATCTATGATCTGTATATTACAGTACCTACATGAAGTCAGATGTGGAGGTAAAGACAGTCAGTGTGAGGCCAGGGAGGATATTTGACCTTTCAGACTGACCTTCTCGAGATAGGAGTGAGAGACAGGCCCTGCTTACCCAGTGGAGACAGACAGCTAGTGTAAGGTTATCATTTCATTTCTCGTTACTTGGTATTCAGGAGAGGTTGTAGAAGGCAGCAGACCTTACCAAACAGTCCCTCATAGACCCGCTGCATGTATCCCTGTTGGTCTCTGGCTCTAGTCTACACTCATGCAGACGCTCACATTGGCTGCTCCACTTCAACTCACAGCTTGGTGTCCGGAAACTTGAACGCTGGCGTGAGCTACACAAGGAAAACACTGGCGTTAAAAAAGACAGAAACATGCACAGCCAAATCATGCCACCACAATTGTGTCTGCTTGAAATAGCCCCTGCTCTTTAAAAACATAGGCTTTTATATGCACCCAAACCAGAGCAGGTTGAATGGGGCTTCATGATTTCAACACATAACAGGGAGGAACATACTTAGTGCAAGATAAATGACAATGCTGGACAATGTAAATGAGATGAGGTGCTGTATTTGTGAAACCAAGAAAAAAGTCAAACATAACAGCAAATTATAAGATAAAACAAAACAGACACTGCTATGTATGTACACCTCAATGGGCCATCAGAGGACGAAACACAAATACTGCCACATGCATCAGTACAGTAACAGTCAGAACAGGACAGAGTAACGATGAGACACAGCTACAATACCACACAGAGACTAGCACGTCTTAACAGTCATTCTCCAGTCAGCCATCCTGTATTAACCAGGTGTCGTTCGGAGAGAGGCTAAACATAACATCTTCTGCAGCAGGGGACACAGAATGAGGACAGCGGCTAGAGACAGAACAAGCCATCTTCCCATAAGGACACTAACACAAGGCTACACAGCACACAGAATAGGTTGAGCAAAACACAAACAGATAGAGCCAACAGACCATGACAAAAGACCATGACAAAAGGTATGTGGACACCTCGTCGAACATCTCATTTCAAAATCATGGGCATTAATATGGAATTGGTCCCCCCTTTGCTACTATTTACATTTTACATTTTTACATTTACATTTACATTTTAGTCATTTAGCAGACGCTCTTATCCAGAGCGACTTACAGGAGCAATTAGGGTTAAGTGCCTTGCTCAAGGGCACATTTACGTCATTTAGCAGACGCTCTTATCCAGAGCGACTCACAAATTGGTGCATTCACCCTATAGCCAGTGGGATAACCACTTTACAATTTTTTTTGGGGGGGGGGGGTAGAAGGATTACTTTATCCTATCCCAGGTATTCCTTAAAGAGGTGGGGTTTCAAATGTCTCCGGAAGGTGGTGAGTGACTCCGCTGTCCTGGCGTCGTGAGGGAGCTTGTTCCACCATTGGGGTGCCAGAGCAGCGAACAGTTTTGACTGGGCTGAGCGGGAACTATGCTTCCGCAGAGGAAGGGGAGCCAGCAGGCCAGAGGTGGATGAACGCAATGCCCTCGTTTGGGTGTAGGGACTGATCAGAGCCCGAAGGTACAGAGGTGCCGTTCCCCTCACTGCTCCATAGGCAAGCACCATGGTCTTGTAACGGATGCGAGCTTCAACTGGAAGCCAGTGGAGTGTGCGGAGGAGGGGGGTGACGTGAGAGAACTTGGGAAGGTTGAACACCAGACGGGCTGCGGCGTTCTGGATGAGTTGTAGGGGTTTAATGGCACAGGCAGGGAGGCCAGCCAACAGCGAGTTGCAGTAATACTATAACAGCCTCCACTCTTCTGGGAAGGCTTTGCACTAGATGTTGGAACATTGCTGCAGGGACCATTCAGCCACAAGAGCATTAGTGAGGTCGGGCACTGATTTTGGGCGATTAGGCCTGGCTCGCAGTCGGCTTTCCAATTCATCCCAAAGGTGTTCGATGGGGTTGAGGTCAGGGCTCTGTGCAAGCCAGTTAAGTTCTTCCACACTGATCTCGACAAACCATTTCTGTATGGACCTCGCTTTGTGCACGGGGGAATTGTCATGCTGAAACAAGAAAGGGCCTTCACCAAACTGTTGCCACAAAGTTGGAAGCACAGAATCGTCTAGAATGTCATTGGAGGCTGTAGCATTAAGATTTCCCTTCACTGGAACTAAGGGGCCTAGCCTGAACCACGAAAAACAGCCCCAGACCATTATTCCTCCTCCACCAAACTTTACAGTTAGCACTATATATTCGGGAAGGTAGCATTCTCCTGGCATCCGCCAAACCCAGATTTGTTCGTCGGACTGCCAGATGGTGAAGGGTGATTCATCACTCCAGAGAACGCGTTTCCACTGCTCCAGAGTCCAATGGCGGTGAGCTTTACACCATTCCAGCCGACACTTGGCATTGCGCATGGTGATCTTTGGCTTGTGTGCGGCTGCTCGGCCAAGGAAACCCATTTTGTGAAGCGCCCAACAAACAGTTCTTGCTTCCAGAGGCAGTTTGGAACTCGGTAGTGGGTGTTGCAACCGAGGACAGACGATTTTTACTCACTATGCGCTTCAGCACTCAGCGGTCCCGTTCTGTGAGCTTGTGTGGCCTACCACCTCGCGCCTGAGCCGTTGTTGCTCCTAGACATTTCCATTTCACAATAAGAGCACTAACAGTTGACCAGGGCAGCTCTAGCAGGGCATAAATTTGATGAACTGACTTGTTGGAAAGGTGGCATCCTATGATGGTGCCACATTGAAAGTCACTGAGCTCTTCAGTAAGGCCATTCTACTGCCAATGTTTGTCTATGGAGATTGCATGGCTGTGTGCTCGATTTTATACACCTGTCAGCAACGGGTGTGGCTGAAATAACCAAATCCACTAATTTTGAAGGGGTGTCCACATACTTTTATATATATAGTGCATTGAATCTTTGGCACTGTCACTCATTTTCTAGTGACAAATGTGTTTAAACATACTGTACCTCATGTTGAACCTATGTGACATGGCATGGATTACAACCCACGTAATCTTGATAAGATGCTACATAAGGAGTCCAGCAACACCAATGTGCCTTGCCTCATAAATAGTCTAAAATTAAAACAATGTTATTGGGAATATCTTGTATCCTTCACCATGAATTGGCAAATTAAATTATTGACATCAAATTCCTTGGACATACCCAAAACGTGGCCTTCATGACCATTTGTTTTGGTAATTTCTCATACGTTTGTATTTGCATTATTTACTACGACAACAGATTGTGGTGATGCTTCGATTTCCCTTGGTTTCTTTCACTAAATATATTTTAGGAAGCATCTCTTATTAAAGAAACCAACCATATCCATTTTAAAACAAAAATGTTTTAAAAGGGATAGTGCCATGTTTTAGCACAGTGTTCTCTGATGAGCCGAACAGTCTCTGATGATTGTCTCTCTTCGTAATACAATTACTGGTGTGGCACCATGCACACTGTGGCGCTACAGAGCATTATATACATTATTATCTGGACAAACCTGTACCATTACAACACCTTCATTGCAGCTCAGCCAAAGTGTTCATGTGTTGTCAACTCGAAAGTGCTGTTAGTCCTTTTTAACCATGGAAGACGCATGTAGCAGTCAGCAGGTGTGGAGAGTGTGTGATGGTGGCAAGGGATGCTCAATTGATTACATTTAGATAAACTGATAGATGGCCAGATTGAAGTAATTAAGGCTACTGTTCTTGGCAGATTGATTAAGAAGTTGTCCTCCCATTTGTGTATGAGAAGAGCACACAGGAAATTGAGGTTCAGTTCTTGATCCATTTCTAATGGAAAGGGAAGATTCCTTGATGATCCATCAATGTATGATAAAAAAATGCGTAGAAAAAAAGTGTGTTGTTATTTTTTATTATTTTTTAATAGATGTTTTGTCCTTCATGCAGCCCAAGCTAGATGTGTCTCCTCACAGCGCCTCACAGTGGTAGATGTCTGGCAAGACAGGACAAGCTACAGATGGGGAAATAAAAATATTGAATTTGCCTTTAGGGAAAAACAAGTGAAATACAAAAATAAACATGGCATTAAAAAGACAAGAAAAACTGTTAATCCTTTTGGGAAGGGGATAAACTATTGTTTATGACTGAGGAGGTTGTTTGGGAAGGATAGGCTAAGAGTTCCACTCTATATGGGACCAAAACGGTCTGTGGATAATATCACAAGAGTAGTAGTCCTTTGGTGTTAGATAAAAAGGGGGACTTATGAAGGTTTGTTCTTTTCTTGTTCACATTGGCAGTACAGCCAATGCTAATCATGTAACTATCAGGTAAAAATGCAACAGGTAGCTCAACAAAAAAAAAAGTTATGCTTGTTTTGACTGAAGGGAGTCACTTGGAAAATAATGGCATGACAGGAAGAGAATAAAAAGCCACAATCTCTTCAATGATGATAAACCTAATAGGGGGTGGATGCAAATGCAAGTAGTTGGGAGGAGGAGGAGGCAGATCGGTTGAGAGAGCAGGGCCATTGTAGGTTCAGTTCAGGTCCATCCACAAGTCAAGGGGCTCCATCAGTGGCTGCAGCAGTGTCAGGAGGAGCAGGGGCTGCCAAGGGGTGAGGAACAGGAGAGAGAGCTGCAGGGATGTGTGATGTCAGAGCAGGGTGAGGTTTGTGTAGGTCAGGGCAGGGCAAAGGAGAGGGGGCAGCCCTGAGGGATGCTACCATCACAGTGAGAAGGCACGGGGCTTGTGAGAGAGAGAGAGAGAGAGAGAGAGAGAGAGAGAGGGTGGTAGAGGTCAGGGGTCAAACTGGGTGCTAGTGCGGGGTGGAGGCGGGGCAGGGGATCCAGTCTCAGAATATGGTGGTCTCGTACTTGGTGCTGACAGGGCGCTTGTTGGAGTCTCTCTGGTTGAAGAGCCAGGTGGTGCTGCCCAGGGACTGCATGTCTGCATCCATCTCCAGAGGGTCAATCTGCCGGGGGAGGGGAGGGGGGATGAGAGTCGCACACTCAAGTCCTCAGCACACGTGCAAGTGGATTAAAGGCACAGTCCAGTGATGCAAGAATCACAGACACCAGGGCTCAATCCACAACATAGCAAAACAGGCTGTTGGAGACCTAACAGACCACACACACTCCCATCTGTCTCTTAATCTGAGTTTCAAATTAAGTGAAAATGTGAAAACACCATTAGGATCCAAACATGCACTCTTAACCAATAGGGTCACCGAAAAAAAAGCATCTCTGTTAACACATCAGCAGCCAGAAATCAACACTGATCACTACCAGGATAAATATCATATGTTATAGCTTTTCCATATGAATAAATTCACTTCAATTAGTAGTCCTGTATATCTGATTACACTAAACACCACTGATAAACCCCAAATAAAGTACATTGTGGCAATGCAACACTGAAATGTACTACTGTCTACATATACAGTTTAAAGTCATTAAAACTTGTTTTTCAACCACTCCACAAATTTCTTGTTAACAAACTATAGTTTTGGCCAGTCGGTTAGGACATCTACTTTGTGCATGACACAAGTAATTTTTCCAACAATTGTTTACAAACAGATTATTTCACTTATAATTCACTGTATCACAATTCCAGTGGGTCAGAAGTTTACTGTGCCTTTAAACAGCTTGGAAAATTCCAGAAAATGATGTCATGACTTTAGAAGCTTCTGATAGGCTAATTGACATAATTTGAGTCAATTGGAGGTGTACCTGTGGATGTATTTCAAGGCCTACTTTCAAACTCAGTGCCTCTTTGCTTGACACCATGGGGAAAAAAAAGAAATCAGCCAAGACCTCAGAAAGAAAATGGTTGACCTCCACAAGTCTGGTTCATCCTTGGGAGCAATTTCCAAACGCCTGAAGGTACCACGTTCATCTTTACAAACAATAGTACGCAAATATAAACACCATGGGACCACGCAGCCGTCATATCGCTCAGGAAGGAGACGCGTTCTGTCTCCTAGAGATTTTTTTGGGGTCATTTAACAGACGCTCTTATCCAGAGCGACTTACATTTAGTGAGTGCATACATTTTTCATACTGGCCCCCCGTGGGAAACAAACCCACAACCCTGGCATTGCAAGCGCCATGCTCTACCAACTGAGCTACAGGGGGGCCTGTAGAGATGAACGTACTTTGGTGCGAAAAGTGCAAATCAATCCCAGAACAACAGCAACGGACCTTGTGAAGATGCTGGAGGAAACAGGTACAAAAGTATCTATATCCACAGTAAAACGAGCCCTATATCGACATAACTTGAAAGGCCGCTCAGCAAGGAAGAAGCCACTGCTCGTTAAAGCTTGGTCGCAAATGGATCTTCCAAATGAACAATGACCCCAAGCATACTTCCAAAGTTGTGGCAAAATGGCTTAAGGACAACAAAGTCAAGGTATTGGAGTGGCCATCACAAAGCCCTGACCTCAATCCTATCGAAAATGTGTGGGCAGAACTGAAAAAGTGTGTGTGAGCAAGGAGGCCTACAAACCACCAGCTCTGTCAGGAGGAATGGGCATAAATTCACCCAACTTATTGTGGGAAGCTTGTGGAAGGCTACCCGACACATTTGACCCAAGTTAAACAATTTAAAGGCAATGATCCCCAATACTAATTGAGTGTATGTAAACTTCTGACCCACTGGGAATGTGATTAAAGAAATAAAAGCTGAAATAAATAATTCTCTCTACTATTATTCTGACATTTCACATTCTTAAAATAAAGTGGTGATCCTAACTGACCTAAGACGGAATTTTTACTAGGATTAAATGTCAGGAATTGTGATAGAACAGAGTTTAAATGTATTTGGCTGAGGTGTATGTAAACTTCTGACTTAAACTGTATATATATCAATTCTAGCTGTCCAACATCCGATTCATCAGAATCCAAAAGTTGAGTGATATAGCAGGATTAAGACTAAATAGGCCACCTCAAGCATCTTTCTATTTGTACTGATCACACAGCTATGCAATTAAAACACTAGATCATTAGCAGCACAACTGTTAAGCCATTAATCATTTGTAGCTGGTTAAGTCAAAGCTAAGGTATAGCCTAATTATCCTCGGGAAACAATTCATGAGAAAGAACTGCTTATCTTAAAAAAGCTCAAATGCAATGACTACAAGAAAATAGAGAATGTGGCAGAAATTCAGTGTAGGCTATGTCATATCAAAAGGGCAAATATTATGTAGCTAGATGAAGTGCCTGGGAAAAAAAACTAAAGGTGGACATGGAATGACGAGAGAGAGAGTTAGAGGTGTGTCAGGTGGGTTAGCAGATGGATGATGAAGGATAGCGGAAAGGAGGAGAGAGCAGGACCTGGACTCCAGGGCTAACAGAGTGCAACGGGAGGAAGGAGGGGCGGTGGGTAGTACACGTGTGACAGTAACAGCAGCGGCATTCTAGCGGAGGGGCACCCTGGGAAACAGGAGGATCAAGAAGACAAGAGCAAAGAAATGTTAAACAGGGAAAGGTCATTCATAGTGGCACTGAACGGACCATAGCGATGCACGGTATACTGTAAAGAGTGTATAATCTAGGTTGTTTATCACATCCTATTTGGTGTAGACAAATAATGTTGTTAAGATTGAACTCTGAAACAATGTTTTATACTAGACAGCAGCTGGCATAGCAGGGTTTTATCTCATCTGCCAACTAGACTGGACTGTACTAGCCAGGTTCCCTTCAGTATCTAGGCACAGCCAGCACAGTACAGTACAGGGTACACAGTGCAGTTTGGGGGAGTACTGAACTACATGTAGTTCAACTAGTAATTTAACTACACTTTGCAGTAGACTGGTGGTAGTTAAACTACATTCAAATCTTGGTAGTGTTTTCAGTAGTTAATTACATTTTTGTCATGTAGCGGTGTAGCTAACAACTGGAACTACACACTACTTTTTTTGCTAAAATAAAATATACTCACTTGAAACAAAAAATAAAAAATACAATAAAATATTCTTACTTGAAACAGTTTTTCTGTTTAATAGGCTAATTTACACATTCTGTTAACGTCTGAGCTGTTCTTGCAATTTGTAGTCTATGACATTTCAGATTTAGATATGATAATGTATCATGAAGCAGTTTGGATGTAGTGAACTACTTTTTCAAGGTAACTTTAGTTATGTAAACTATATTTTTCTTAAGGGTAGCTTTAGTGTAGCTCAACATTTTCCAGTGTGAAGTAATTGTTAGCGTGGTAAACTATATTTTCAGAGTAGCTTCCCCAACACTGACAGTGTTCAGCTGCACAGTGATTTATGACATTATTTACATGGGACAAAAATAGTGCACACCTGGCAAGAATGAAATCACATACCTAATATATTATACCTCATATATTATACCTCACATATTATACCTCATATAGTATCCCTCATATATTATACATCATATATTATACCCAGGGGCACAACTTTGGCTTTAGAAGTGGGGGGGACATAATGGGTTTTTTTTGTACGTTTTTTTTAATCCAGTCCAATAAACACTCCAAACAGCCTACCCGACTGCTTGGAGGCGTCCGCATGGTCCTAAAGCACACCGTTGCTTTGTTTTGTATCACATTCCAATGATAAAACAGTGGGGGACAAAAATGCCATTTCAGTTGCGCCCCTGATTAATTTATACCTAATACATTATACCTCATATATTATACCTCATTATATATTCTGTTTATAGCAGATAATAAAGCATGGTGCAGCTTTCTCAGGTGACAGTGATCACTAAGTGTTCATTATCCTTGGGCCTGAAAGGTCAATACATCCATACATGGCCTGAGGCATACGTAAACATTTACGTAACACTCTCAATCAATATACTGGGAAACAGTGAAGGGACAAGGTGACCAGCAGAGAGACACAAAGCTCTCCCTCTCTCTACTCACAGAGGAAATCACATCCTGCCTGTAAGCAAAAAAATAAGACTATTCATTCATCATGATTCTTATATTGTATGGCTGCAGGAAAATCTACTCCGATCTGAGTGACTCAGAGTTGGGGAGATGAGATTGGTAGCAAAATAATGACTCATCACTTTCATCGCTCTACAAGTCTTCCTTTGTGTGTAACGGGGTTATCAGTGGTTTAAAAGCCGCATCCACACATACACATTTACACATACATACTGAATATACAGAAACACAGTATGTATATACACATAATGCAAGTACAGAAACGCACACACAGCTACATGCTGTGCTACGAGTGAGATTTGTGTTTGTGCTCAGTGTGTGGTACCCACTGTTGATCTCCTCATGCTGCTCCATTGCTGTGACGTGGGCTGGCTGGATTTGGTCTCAATGACCTCTGACCCCAGAGATGGTGGGGGGGCCGGGACATACTGCCTGGCCTTGGTCTGGAGAGCCAGCTGATAGGCCACCTCAAAGGCCTGTCCCAGCGTCAGGATGATCTCATAGGTCTGGGTCTGTACCGAGGGAGGGAGTAAAGAATGAACAGACGGTTGCAGTAGTGACTGACAGCTACTTTGAATGAGGCACTCTGAATGAGGTACTAATTATAATAAATCTGCATTTTTGTCATTGCGATGCCATTCATAGCAGGAGCACTATGTTAATCAAGGATGCAATTAGACAATCAAGATGTAGCTTTGTATCGTGTGCCAGGCCTTTTTGAAACACGGATTTAAAAGTGACAAATTAAGATATGAAGTTACTTGCATGACAGCAGGTGCATTACTTTAATCAAGACATTAAGGCTATTTAATTCATCAAGATATGAAGTTGCATGCAGTTTTATCAGCAGGTTGCCAAATTCGAATCAACTTTTCCTATCAAACTTTTTTATGATATGATATGGCATTTAGAGTTTAATTAATAATAGTCAGAGTACTTTAGAAAGATTTTAAGGTTGGAAATGGGTGATTGTATTTTGGCATACAGGTGTAGAAACGAATTTTAGCCAGTTTGCTACAGCAGGAAAATAATCCTGCAGCAACAGGAAATGTGAACTATTATATGGATTATAATGAATGGACATTTTTTGTAGGGGTTGATACATTTTACGTTAGGGCAAATCAAGACTGACATTTTAAAGTGGAAATAACAAACATTAGAAGCCTTTTAAAACCTTCCTGCTATGTAGAACAATTCTCAGCAGCATCTGTAGTCTTAAGTAGTGATAATAATGTATGGAGTGATTGAAGGGTTTGGGGTGGTGTCATAATCATGTTCCTCACCACTTCCACAGTGCTGAAGACATGGCAGAAGTGGTGGCCACTTTTATTGTCCTTGGTAATGTAGGCGAAGGAGCAGAGGTCCTCAGGGTCCTGGGCCGCACAGGAGATGTTCCTGATCTCATGCTCGGCTACTATGGTCTGATGAGAGGACAGAAGAACAGGATGGAACTGAGGAGCAACAGGAACAACAACATCGACCAGAAACAACAGACTTCATCGGCACCAACAGTGTTATCTTTATTTTAGGGGAATCAGTATGAGAGAGCGAAAGAGGGAAATGATGCTGCTGACATCATCATGCGTCTCTCATTTCCTGCAGGCTCCCAGTACCTTAGTGGCTGCATCGATGAACTTGACCCCTTTATAGGTGATGGAAAGGATGACAACAGGACCCTTTCTTGAATGGTCCTTCGACTTCTACAAGTAGAAAGAAAATGGCGAGGGGATCCATATTAATATGGAGTGCTAGAATAGAGTGATTGAATATTGATCTGCAGAATGATGACATCACGTACCCTAATTTTGGCACAGGCTTCTTGAGTGGACTCAATCCCTCGTAGATCCCTGATAATCATTGATCCTAAATACTGGAAAAGAAGCAACAAAGAAGGTTATCATCTCTGAACTATCAATTTCTGATACATCAAGCAATGATCAATATTGAATAGCTGAGAGTGTTGGTGACTTCTCTTCAGGGGGCATAACGACTTACACTGGCCTCATACCCACAGGACTCTAAGATGAGTTTCTCAGGCTGGTGATGCCAAGCGGACACTGTAGCATACGTGGCAGACTGGCTAGGCGGCCGGAGGGCCAAACGTGGTTCCCTATGTCTGTCACTCTGTCTGTCCTAGAAAGACACATACAGTAGAGACGGCTTGATCCTGTAGTGTACAGGGATGCTTATGGCAGAACATTTAGTCACAAAATATTACTGGATAATAAAACTACAAAGATGCTGTAACACTTTGACTGATCAATATATATTTAATACAAGCATGGAATGACTCAATAATCTGTTAAACACATAACAGCTTCTGTTTCAGATTACCCCAGCAGCAGCTTCCTCTCTTTATGACATGATCATCCCAAGCACACCACAGAGACACATATTTCAGTCACTTTATGAGCTACAGGTAAAGACATCGTTTTGGCAGGAGAACTAACGTGAGAGCGTGGTCTCTCGCTGTAGGAGCGCAGGGACACACTGCAGTCCTGGTCCGTGGCTCTTCTCCTCCTGCCGGCCTCTCCCAGGGGCAGGAGCATGTCCATGGAGCGACTGGTGGACGGGTCCATCTGACTCAGAGCAGAGGTCCCTGTCTGGGACAACAGGTCCTGAAACTGCCACATACAGATTGATTGATCAGATTGATGATGTGGGCGTGAAAGATTTCAAACAAAATAGTGACTCAATACTAATTTCAATTAGGTATTAGAACGTTAAGTAGTGTCATACAGGTGGTATTATTGTTAAAATGTGACAAGGCTCTAACTAACCCTGATCTGTGAGAGACGGTGAGAGATCTGTGATTTGGTCGGGGCCTCCTCATAGGGCCGCTCTGCCAGAGACGCTATGATCCTCTTCCTGTGGCCGAGAGGGCCGATCTTCAACACCTACAGAGACCAGCACAGATGGGACACAATTGTGACTAGACTGTACTAAGGGCTGTGTGCACCTTAATTAGGGTGGAAGGGCTCGTGGTAATGGCTTTAGCGGAATTAGTGGAATGGTATCAAACACATGGTTTCCATGTGTTTAATGCCATTCCATTTACGTTCCAGCCATTATTATGAGCAGTCCTCCCCTCAGCAACCTCCACTGAAATACATAGTCGGGCAGCCATGCCAGCAAACAACAGGCAGACAGAATGGACTCTCCTCAATTATTCAACTCAAATCTGTTTTGCCTTAATCTCAGTACAGCGCTGTCTCCTCTCTGTGGCACTCTATAATTCACTAACAAAACATTGGCCTCACGTTGACAATCTCCAACTCCCATAGGTTCTTCACACAGTCCAAGGTACGGTAGCCGCTAGACAGGAAGTTAGGCAGGTACTCCTGCAGGCCTAACACATCCAACCAGGTGGAGAGAGAGGTGCTGCCATCACAGCCCAGGGCCTTCACCTACAGACAGGGGAAGAAAATAGATCAAATTACATTCAAGTAAAAGCAGGATTTCACAATTTCTTTCAGGATATTCCAACCACACCCAATGTCAAAGTGCTTTTTCACAGGATCGCTTTTGTCATAGCTACAGGCAAGATCCGAACTACTTTACAATACCTGTCATCATATCATGATTGAAAATACTGTGCACAAACGTAGATAAATCCAATGCACACTCCTTGACACCTTGATGTTCTTAGACTGAGATGAATGCTCAACCAGGTAAAAGGTTGCAGGCGGTGCCCTGGACTGATGATAACTACCTTGGGCAAGCTGCGTGCTGCGTGGAGGATCTTCTTTCTGTGTCCAGGGTCAGTGATTCCCATATCGCTAAGGTCCAAGTCCTCCATCACGTTACTGCCCTACACATGCACCAACGCACGCAGTACACCCATGCACACGCACACACGCACAAGTTAATTACACAAACTGCAGACGCTTATGCAGAAACACATATAAATCACTTAAGCTAACTATTAACATAGACATTACAACATCTCCTACACTCTAGGTCTATATGCGTGGCCAAACACGACTCCAACACCATCATTAAGTTAGCTGACGACACAACAGTGGTAGGCCTGATCAACGACAACAATGAGACAGCCAATAGGGAGGAGGTCAGAGACCTGGCAGTGTGGTGCCAGGACAACAACTTCTCCCTCAACGTGAGCAAGACGATGGAGCTGATCGTGGACTACAGGAAAAGGGGGGCCGAACACGCCCCATTCACATTGACGGGGCTGTAATGGAGCGGGTCGAGTGTTTCAAGTTCCTTGGTGTCCACATCACCAACAAACTATCATGGTCCAAACATAGCAAGACAGTCATGAAGAGGGCACGACAAAGCCTATTCCCCCTAAGGAAACTGAAAAGATTTGGCATGGGTCCCCAGATCCTCAAAAAGTTCTACAGCTGCACCATCGAGAGCATCCTGACCGGTTGCATCACCACCTGGTATGGCAACTGCTCGGCATCCGACCGTAAGGTGCTACAGAGCGTAGTGTGTACGGCCCAGTACATCACTGGGGCCAAGCTTCCTGCCATCCAGGACCTACAGTGGGGGAAAAAAGTATTTAGTCAGCCACCAATTGTGCAAGTTCTCCCACTTAAAAAGATGAGAGAGGCCTGTAATTTTCATCATAGGTACACGTCAACTATGGCAGACAAAATCAGGAAAAAAAATCCAGAAAATCACATTGTAGGATTTTTAATGAATTTATTTGCAAATTATGGTGGAAAATAAGTATTTGGTCAATAACAAAAGTTTCTCAATACTTTGTTATATACCCTTTGTTGGCAATGACACAGATCAAACGTTTTCTGTAAGTCTTCACAAGGTTTTCACACACTGTTGCTGGTATTTTGGCCCATTCCTCCGTGCAGATCTCCTCTAGAGCAGTGATGTTTTGGGGCTGTGGCTGGGCAACACTGACTTTCAACTCCCTCCAAAGATTTTCTATGGGGTTGAGATCTGGAGACTGGCTAGGCCACTCCAGGACCTTGAAATGCTTCTTACGAAGCCACTCCTTCGTTGCCCGGGCGGTGTGTTTGGGATCATTGTCATGCTGAAAGACCCAGCCACGTTTCATCTTCAATGCCCTTGCTGATGGAAGGAGGTTTTCACTCAAAATCTCACGATACATGGCCCCATTCATTATTTTCTTTACACGGATCAGTCGTCCTGGTCCCTTTGCAGAAAAACAGCCCCAAAGCATGATGTTTCCACTCCCATGCTTCACAGTAGGTATTGTGTTCTTTGGATGCAACTCAGCATTCTTTGTCCTCCAAACACGACGAGTTGAGTTTTTACCAAAAAGTTCTATTTTGGTTTCATCTGACCATATGACATTCTCCCAATCTGTGACGTTCTGGCTCCGGGACTCTTTGTTGTGAGCCAGGGTTGTCATTTTCTTTTGGGTGTATTTCTATGTGGGATCTGGTTGTTCATTTTCTATGTTTGGTTTTGTTGTTGATTGGGCATGTGACTCCCAATCGGAGGTAACGAGTGCCAGCTGTTCGGCTCGTTATCTCTGATTGGGAGCCATATTTATTCTGTATGTTTTCCTGTGGGGTTTGTGGGTTTTTGTTTCCGTGTTGCTGTCTGTATCAGTAGTGGAACTTCACGTATCGTATTTTGTTGTTTTTCTCGTGTTGCACTTTAATTTAATAAAGTCATCATGTTTATCGGTACACGCGCTGCGTATTGGTCCGCTCCTTCAGACGATCGTGACAGAAAAACCCACCATACCAAGACCAAGCAGCGTGTACAGGAGCAAAGAGACTGGACATGGGTGGAGGCGCCGGGTAAGGAGATCGAGAGGCTGGCGATGGCCCAGGTGGGCAAATCGTGGTCCTGGGAGGACATGCTCGGGGGCAAGGGACCTTGGGGGAAGATCAAGGCCCTGGCAAGAGAGGAGCATCGGCGGCAGCAGGTTTTTCGTCGGAAGGACGAGAGGCAACCCCAAGAAATTTTTGGGGGGGGGCACATGGCTTGGGCGGCTGGGCAGCAGGAAGCTGCCACAGGGAGTATAGGTGAGAGGGCTAACGGAGTACGGGAGCCATTGGCGAGAAGAGGCAGGGATGTGTGTGTGGCACGGCGTGAAGGACTGAGGTGTGTTGCCAGTCCGGTCCGGCCCGTTCCTGATCCTCGGTTGAGGCCAGTGGTGTGTGTTCCCGGTATGGACCGGCCTGTTCCTACTCCACGCACCAGGGATACGGTGCGCTTCGCCAGCCCAGCCCGGCCTGTTCCTACTCCACGCACCAGGGATACGGTGCGCTTCGCCAGCCCAGCCCGGCCTGTTCCTACTCCACGCACCAGGGATACGGTGCGCTTCGCCAGCCCAGCCCGGCCTGTTCCTACTCCACGCACCAGGGATACGGTGTGCTTCACCAGCCCGGCCCGGCCTGTTCCGGCCACTCGCACCAGGGATACGGTGCGCGTCGCCAGCCCCGCCCGGCCTGTTCCTGCTCTCCGCACTAGGCGTGAGGTGAGTCCCCAGGGTCCAGCATGCCCTGTTCCGGCTCCCCGCACTAGGCGTTATGGGAGTCCCCAGGGTCCAGCATGCCCTGTTCCGACTCCCCGCACTAGCCCTGAGATGCGTGTCCTCAGGCCGGGACCACCAGTTCCGGCACCACGCACTAGGACTTATGTGCGTCCCCAGGGTCCTGCATGCCCTGTTGCTGCTCCCCGCACTAGCCCTGAGATGCGTGTCCTCAGCCCGGGACCACCAGTTCCGGCACCACGCACTAGGACTTATGTGCGTCCCCAGGGTCCTGCATGCCCTGTTGCTTCTCCCCGCACTAGCCCTGAGATGCGTGTCCTCAGCCCGGTACCTCCAGTTCCGGCACCACGCATCAGGTCTATGGTGCGCCTCAGACGGCCAGAGTCTGCCGTCTGCCCAACGGCGCCTGAACTGCCCGTCTGCCCAACGGCGCTTGAACTGCCCGTCTGCCCAACGGCGCTTGAACTGCCCGTCTGCACAACGGCGCCTGAACTGCCCGTCTGCCCAACGCCGTCTGAACTGCCCGTCTGCCCAACGCCGTCTGAACTGCCCGTCTGCCCAACGCCGTCTGAACTGTCCGTCTGCCCAACGCCGTCTGAACTGCCCGTCTGTACTGAGCCTGCAAAGCCGCCCGTCTGCCATGAGCCTTCAGAGCCGTCCGCCAGACCGGAGCCGCTAGAGCTCTTCGCCAGACAGGATCAGCCAGAGCCTTCCGCCAGACAGGATCAGCCAGAGCCTTCCGCCAGACAGGATCAGCCAGAGCCTTTCGCCAGACAGGATCAGCCAGAGCCTTCCGCCAGACAGGAGCAGCCAGAGCCTTCCGTCAGACCGGATCAGCCAGAGCCTTCCGCCAGACAGGAGCAGCCAGAGCCTTCCGCCAGACGGGATCAGCCAGAGCCTTCCGCCAGCCATGAGTGGCCAGATCCGTCAGCCAGCCATGAGCCGCCAGATCCGTCAGCCAGCCATGAGCCGCCAGATCCGTCAGCCAGCCATGAGCAGCCAGATCCGTCAGAGCCAGCCAGCCAGGATCCGCCACGTAGTCCTGTGCTGCCCCTTAGTCCGGTGCTGTCCCTTAGCCTTGTGCTGCCTCTTAGTCCGGTGCTGCCCATTTATCCAGGTGGGTTTAAGTGGAGGGTGGTCATTGGGAGGAGGTTAAGAAAGCGGGTAGGAACTATAGTGGGGTGGTGGTCAAGCCCGGAGCCGGAACCGCCTCCGGGGAGCAACACCCACCCAGCCCTCCCCTATTGTGGGGTTGTGAGGCGCGGTCGCAGTCCGCGCCTTTAGGGGGGGGTACTGTGACGTTCTGGCTCCGGGACTCTTTGTTGTGAGCCAGGGTTGTCATTTTCTTTTGGGTGTATTTCTATGTGGGATCTGGTTGTTCATTTTCTATGTTTGGTTTTGTTGTTGATTGGGCATGTGACTCCCAATCGGAGGTAACGAGTGCCAGCTGTTCGGCTCGTTATCTCTGATTGGGAGCCATATTTATTCTGTATGTTTTCCTGTGGGGTTTGTGGGTTTTTGTTTCCGTGTTGCTGTCTGTATCAGTAGTGGAACTTCACGTATCGTATTTTGTTGTTTTTCTCGTGTTGCACTTTAATTTAATAAAGTCATCATGTTTATCGGTACACGCGCTGCGCGTTGGTCTCATCCTTCAGACGTTCGTGACACAATCCTCTTCTGGATCATCCAAATGCACTCTAGCAAACTTCAGACATGTACTGGCTTAAGCAGGGGGACACGTCTAGCACTGCAGGATTTGAGTCCCTGGTGGCGTAGTGTGTTACTGATGGTAGGCTTTGTTACTTTGGTCCCAGCTCTCTGCAGGTCATTCACTAGGTCCCCCGTGTGGTTCTGGGATTTTTGCTCACCGTTCTTGTGATCATTTCGACCCCACGGGGTGAGATCTTGCGTGGAGCCCCAGATTGAGGGAGATTATCAGTGGTCTTGTATGTCTTCCATTTCCTAATAATTGCTCCCACAGTTGATTTCTTCAAACCAAGCTGCTTACCTATTGCAGATTCAGTCTTCCCAGCCTGGTGCAGGTCTACAATTTTGTTTCTGGTGTCCTTTGACAGCTCTTTGGTCTTGGCCATAGTGGAGTTTGGAGTGTGACTGTTTGAGGTTGTGAACAGGTGTCTTTTATACTGATGACAAGTTCAAACAGTTGCCATTAATACAGGTAACGAGTTGAGGACAGAGGAGCCTCTTAAAGAAGAAGTTACAGGTCTGTGAGGGCCAGAAATCTTGCTTGTTTGTAGGTGACCAAATACTTATTTTCCACCATAATTTGCAAAGAAATTCATTAAAAATCCTACAATGTAATTTTCTGGAAAAAAAATTCTCAATTTGTCTGTCATAGTTGAAGTGTACCTATGATGAATATTACAGGCCTCTCTCATCTTTTTAAGTGGGAGAACTTGCACAATTGGTGGCTGACTAAATACTTTTTTTCCCCACTGTATATACTAGGCGGTGTCAGAGGAAGGCCCCAAAAATCTGTTCTCTCTGCTACCGCATGGCAAGCGGTACCGGAGCGCCAAGTCTAGGTCCAAAAGGCTCCTTAACAGCTTCTACCCCCAAGCCATAAGACTGCTGAACAATTAATCAAATGGCCACCCGGACTACCGGTACCCCCTGTATATTGCCTCGTTATTGTTATTTTATTGTGTTACTTTTTATAAAAAAATTTACTTTAGTTTATTTAGTAAATATTTTCTTAACTCTATTTCTTGAACTGCATTGTTGGTTAAGGGCTTGTAAGTAAGCATTTCACGGTAAGGTCTACACCTGTTGTATTCGGCGCATGTGAAAAATAAAATTTGATTTGATTTTGATTCATATGCAATCAATAATACACACAGACACACACACACACACACACACACACACACACACACACACACACACAGACAGAAACACACAGACACAGACAGAAACACACACACGCGCATGCGCTTATTTATGTCCTCAGACAAACAGGAATGACGCGGTGAGAGGACATTGGAGTCAAATAAATTGTGCATGCCAAAGGTAATCAATCTATTCTAATGCAACACCACCAAGGGAAAAGCAATCACAACTGCAGCAGCTTTTACTTCTGAGCTACATTGTTACATTGAGACAAATTACATTGGGCATGAGAAAAACATTTAGGACTATGTATCTGTGTGTTTGGGTGTGTTTGTGTATGTGTGTGTGTGCATGTGTGTGTGTGTGCACACACATGCATATGCAAACAGCTGTGGTGTAGGGGACAATGAATGAGGATTTCACTGTATATAATGGTGAAGACAATAATTAAAGTAATCTAAACATTTCCCATTTTCCTTTACAGTAATGATTGACAACAATAGATGTTCACCATTTGTTTTACATAACTCTCCATAAGTGGCACATGCTTCGTCATCTAAATCAGCTTTATAGGGAGAAATAAAGATTTAAGGAGATCCTTAAAAATGTGGAGCTCAGCATTTCCCCAGTGGACTGCTGCAGATAGATTTTTCCTGGACAAGAATGTTAAAATGTAGCTAGTCTTTTCTAAATCTAGCCTCACTGCTTGTTTCTGGAGCACAATGCAGCAGTTACAGTAACACACTGATGATCACTAGAACAAGTATCCAAATAACGCAGTGTCTGACGTCAGAAAATAGATATTTCCAATAAAATGGTTGTTGGACGTTCCAGGAGGTCCCACTGGAGCTTGTCATTTATACTTAATCAGTAATATATGATTAAGTAATTAATAGCTATTTTTGTTGTTATCTATAAGTACCTATTACATAACTGTGATACATACAGTCCCTCATCACAAAGGGGGAAGGTTCCATGAAATGAGGAGGCACCAGAAACCCCATCAGGGCAGAACGGTAGGCCATACAAGAGACATGAGGGTCCCATTAGACGAAAGCGACGCAAAGTGATAATCATCTTGTAAAAAGTATGAGAATGGGCACACAGCTGTTTATTATTTATGATCCCTCAAAAGCTGCATCTTGAAGAAATCATCCCATGCAGAGATGGGGGAGGAGGAGGGGGCAGTGAAAGAGGACCGAAGGTCTGAAGGGTAGACTAACTCTGATCTCTCTGTTTTGAAGAATTTGATCTATGACACTCTTGCCTTTGGGATCAGCAGGGAAATTGGGCACTCAGATTTCTCAACTGGGCTATACTCTAAAAGAGACAGTGTATTTTATTTAATGAAGAGCTTTGTCATCGCAGCTTTCAGGCTAGCTGCTCACCAACTAATGTGCATCTCCGGCACAGTCACCATTACCTTTGCTCCTCTGGGCTTCATGACATGTATTTCTATGTGATTTGATTTAATCTACATTAATTTGATGATGGGGTTGAACAGTGTCTCACAGAGCCATCTCAACCACTCAATAAAAATGATACCTGGCTAAACCCAGTATACCACTTCCCCTGATCTAGAGTCAGCCCACCAAGTAAATAAACAAATAAACGGAGCAGCACTGCAGTGATAACACAATGAATCTGGGTGACACCATTGAGACACCATTCAACCTTTAAAACATATTTCTGACTGCTCTGACCTATTCAGACAGCAACCTGCAAGTCCTTAAAAGTATCTGAGGGCAATTTGTCCTGCAGAGAGCTAATTAATTATCTGGTTGGTGCTTCTACTCCTCAGACATTAGTCAAGAGATGAACATTAACATCACAAAGCTAATAACCCATGATCCTCATCCTGTTATTACCTTATTAACACGAACACCGTAATTCTGGTTGGTACAATCCACACTACATCACTATGCTGACTGACTAGCTATTTTCAGTCCATACATAGTCTATCAGACTTCTTCCATTGGTTATGTGACCTCTCTAACAGGTGCAGTCCGTTGCCCCTGGCCAAGCTCTCATCTGTGGTAACCTCATGTAAACAACAGTACTGAAGCAGCTGTGTCGTCAGATCAATTAGTGTTTGCTTTAAAGACCATGTTATTCACCATTTACAACAGCTTTTTCAAATTTACCTAATCAGAGGAAATGTCAGTGTTGTTTTGTACATTCATTGGCAAATGTTGTAACACACATCCGTGTGTTGTAACTTAAAAGGAACATGATTGCCTCTTTTAGTTTGACACAACACATACAGTAATTTCAGCTGCAGCTAAACCATTTTATTAATACATAATTCCAGAGGCAAAGCCAGTTGAATCTGTCTATGCTTTCCAGAAACAAGAGACATACGAGACACAAGGGATGTCATAATGATGTCATTTTCTGGCTGAAGTGGCATAAGATAACCAGAAAAAAACATCAGTATACAACTTGACCATGACATCACAAAAAAAAAACTTCACTTTGCCACAAAATATCTTATAGAATTGCCAGGAAGTAAAATCCATACTGTGACCTCAACAGAGTGGTTTGTTGTATCTGCTGATGATTGGGTGAGCTATACTGAGAATGCTTTCTGGCCAGGCCAGCATGGAGGTTGAGGTTGTAGAACATAAATCAGCCTGACAATATAGGGGGGATGGTGGTGACGATGGGATTTTACTGTAAATCAGATGGCATAATAGGGGATGAAGGAAAAAAGTTGAAAGGTTTTGTTGTGATTCGTCTTACCATTGGTGACATATTCTACACTTCAAAGGGATTTACAGTAAGCACATACATCTGTATGGGGTCATCTACTGTATAGCAAGGAGAGGTGAAGAGCAGCAATGGAAGAGAGAGAGAAACTGGGGGAGACAGAATCCGGAAGGGAAAGTGAAATAGAAGAGGGGAAGATGGAAAAGGAGGGAGGGAGAAAGGGAGATGGAAAGAGATGAAAAGTGTAAAAGATCTTAGAAACGTTGACTCACCATGTAGCGCAGGTCGTCGAAGCCATTAAGCAGCAGCTTGCTCTCGTACTGCGGCAGCCCCACATGCTCCAGCCACTCTCCCACAGGCTGGTCCAGGGCTTTGCTGCAGGCCCCATCTGCCGAGAGAGGGAAGCGCTTCAGCAGGGAGAAGCCGTTCAACCGGTAGCAGCGGCACTCCGAGGACGAGACATGGCATTGCCACATCATCCTCGGCCAGCACAACCGAATGCAGGAGCACCAGCAGGGCAGAGGAGACAGGGTCCAGGCTGTGGGAGGGCGGCTCCCACAAGGCAGGAGGGGGCCCGGCTATTCTTACACTAGAGATATAGTTGTGGAACCTGCCCACGTGGTATACTGTACACCCACTGTTGTTACTGTGAGTGTCAATGTCAGGCAAGGGTGGAGGTAGAGGTGGATATGTAGATCCTTTGAATATTGATCACCACGTTCAATTGATTGAGCCAATCTGGTATCTTCCATCAAAATGTTTTGCTAATTACTGACATGGAAATTGCCAATGCCTCAAAATGTGTCATTTCTAGCACACTGTAATACGGTGCACTAAACAAAATAATTTTCCAGACCACACAAAGATGATACAGTATTACTGGATATCATATTCCACATGCTGTCTTTTATCCTGGTTAAACCATCATCATCATCATCCTTTTTTTAAACAGATAATATTCCACGTGTATGGTAAACCAAAGTAAGTTACAGCTCCACAGAGTACACTTTGTAGCACTTGGTCACCTCTGTCTCAGTCCCATGGCTTTATTGGACAACCTGTCTGAGAGCTCTGACGGTAGAACCATGATGAGGTAAGGGTATTCATGTAATCTGGATCATGGGATTCTCTCTAGGATTCTGGTCTTACTCCACAAACAGAATGAGAGTCCAATCTCATAAACCAAAACTCAGGTTTCCCTTTGGCTTCCGACTGTTGATGAAAAACTCCTGAAATGAAATCAGAATTCAATCACCAGCCGCTTGATAAAGCTCCAGCTGCCGGCATGCCTGCTTGCCTGAGGCGCTATGTCCTTGGTGTTCCCAGTGATCCTGGTGGTAAACCTGGTGCTTCCCAGCATATATACTCATTCAGAGAAAGTTCTTATCATATCTCACACCAGTAAATCCAAGCTCAGCTCTAACAGAGCGCAGGTGAGCCTCTTGACTCTTGGCTGAGATCTCCACAGGACCACCTTGGTTTAGCCTGCCTCCTCCCTGTGCGATAAGACCCCTCCACCCCACCTGGCTCTCCCCCACCGTGGGTACAGCTAGCTCCAGAAGCCCCTGTGCTCAGGGCAGAGGTTTGCTGCATCCCCTGTCTGATGCATGAACTGTCAAAAAGCAGCTGCTCTCGGCTCACACGCTCCCCTCACCGCTCCCCTCACAGGACATAACGTCCAGATGCTGGATACTCACGAGTCCAGAAAGCAGCCTCAACCACGTCCTTCCCGCATCCACAACAGGCAGTCTTGATGCTCATCCCCCTTCCCATTCAGACAAATCCCTCAAGCTTTTTCTCTCTTCTGCTCTCTTTCTGGCTCTTTATCTCATTCCCTCATTCACATATTATCTCAGTCCACTGCAGGGCTTCTGTATGCTGCCTGATGGAGAAGGGTACTGCTTCACGTATCAGCTCTCCGTTCCTCCCCCTATCTCTCTCTGCCTAACACTCTTACTATATAAATCCCCCTCCCTCTCCCTTTACCTCATAGCCTCTCTCCCTCTACCTCACAGCATATCTCTCTCTCTCTCTCCCTCTACCCCAGTCTCTCTCTCTCTCCCTCTACCCCAGTCTCGCTCTCTCTCTCTCTACCCCGGTCTCTTCCTCTCTCTCTTCCCACCCTCTGCACTGATTAGAATTGCACAGAGGCACTCTGATCTTGCTAGTGCTGAAAAGACACCACCGTCAGAGGCAGGGAACAAGCACTAGGAGCCTCAAAATCACAGACCTCTCTGTATGGAATGACTGGAATATAAAAGGATGTAGGTTTCTCCCCTTCTACATGGGCAGTGATTTCAAAGCTCGGCTTCCCAGTGCTTTACAAGGGATATTAAAATAAAGAAAATGTTCAAGCTTATTCACAGCTGGCCTTAATTAATTTACATCTCGCTGTGATGATTGGGCGAGTGGGGCAGCACTGATTCAAGTCAGTGCAATGCTCTCTCTCTCTCTCTCTCACACACACACACACACACACACATGCACACACAGTGTTTTAACGGACTGTCTAACATAATGACTCTCAAGTCCCTTTCACCATGCGACAAGATGACAGGAGAGACATTACACTCTTAGAAAAAAAGGTGCTATCTAGAACATAAAAGGGTTCCTCTGCTGTCCCCATAGGAGAACCCTTTGAATAACCCTTTTTTGTTCCAGGTAGAACACTTTTGGTTCCAGAGAGAACCCTTTTCAGTTCCATGTAGAACCCTTTCCTATGGGGACAGCTGAAGAACCCTTTTGGAACCCTTTTTTCTAGGAGTGTAACTCCTGTTGTTACGTCAGCACATATCACAAACTATTTTTAGAATACAACAGTTGATGCGTGAAGCTTACAGGTCAGATAACTGCAGGAATCATATGGGTGAAATGCAACAGGATAATACGAATGGGCACACAGACTTCTATTGACAGAAATCAAAATTGGCATTTGCACCCACCTATGCAGGGCTGCTTACTGCGTCCATCACTGGTGTTATCTGGATACAGCTACAGGCACAGAGTAATTATGCAGGCTTTCAGTCTGCCTGTGAACGCCTCACACATCCCATCCCCAGCCAGCTGGCCAGAGGAGGAGAAGTGATGGTTACAGGAGCGATCGATTTGAGCTCCTGCCGTAATTGGCCGGCTGTCACCCAGTTGCTCTGACTTAATGATCAGGTAAAGGTCAGGTCTTTGTGACCACGCATCTGAGCTAAGCGCAAGAGCTAACGCTCATAATTCATAATCAAGAACAGAAAGCCCTTCTATTAGACACGCTTTGGGATATAGAGAGAAAGGATGTATGCACTCAGTACTGTAAGTCGTTCTGGATAAGAGCGTCTGCTAAATGACAAAGAATATATATTTGAAAAGGAAGAGGAAGAGAAAAGAAGCAGACACAAAAGAGATGGACAGAAGAAGTTGAATAGTGAAGATGATGAAATGTGCATGTGGGGGAGGTAAGATGGTAATAAAGAAATAGGAAAGATTGGAGCAGACTCATTACGTTTCAGTCAGACCCCTCTCTCTTCCCCCAGAGCTTTACCGATGGCAGCTTCTTCATTATATCACTCAAACAAAGCCTGTTAAAAATACCGGCCCTCCCCACCCAATTACAGCCATTCATTTGGGACGACAACAGCTCCCAGGGACCAGCGGGGCCTAATTACTGAGTGATTGTTACTGTTAGGGGGAACTGGGTCACTATCTCAGCCCACTAAACGAGTATTCACGTCCAGTTTGGGCTAGTGGGCTTCCGTAGGGACCGAGAGAGCTACCTAGGTCTAAACTTGGCTCAGGGGGAAACCAGAAATACTATATTTACGGAGAGGTAAAGGCTCTGTTGTCTAGATAAAGCACTGCCTCTGTATCAGTGTGAGAGTAGCACTAGCTCTGTCAACACATCCACAACGGCAACGCTACCGAAAGGAGCCGCAAAGCTGAATTAATTAACGGGAACGGAAGACGGACACTATTCCTTTGAACGTCAGAGGAGTGGCAAACACAAACTGAGCTGCAGGATGCCTCCTGTGTGTTGTTAGGAGAGCTCCCTCTCTCTCTCCCTCCCTGCTCCCTGTTTAAGCTAATTTACTCAATGCTCCTGTAACAGACAATTGAAGCACTTTCAAACCACAAATGCAAACAGCACAACATTTAAGCATTCTATAGGCCACATGGAATTGCAGGGATGTTTCAATAGGCAAAATGGCACAGCAGTCACAATTTTTTTTATTATAGTTTAGGATTCATTGGCACAACTTGGCTCCAGGCCATCCCTGGGAAATAGTATCTATGAAGAAAGAGGGATGAGAGGAATAGGAGGGAGAGAAAGGGATGGAAGGTGTGGGGGATAATATAGCTCCTTTACAATGGTGGGAGGGAAGAAGAGTGACGATTTGGCTTCCCTCTCCCTCACTGAAAGGGCACATTCATTTTGTGTCATTTCATTTTGTAGGAGAATACAATACCCTCATTATGCCTTTACCAAGAGGGCAAGTCAGTCAACACACTTGGGCTAAACATAGGGCGGCAGGTAGCCTAGCGGTTAGTGCGTTGGTGCAGGTAACTGAAAGGTTGCTGTTTCAAATACCCTAGCTGACAAGGTGAAAGATCTGTCAATGTGCCCTTGAGCAAGGCACTTAACCCTACTTTGCACACATTTCACTGCACCTATCTGATGTATGTGACAACAAAACATATTTGGTAGATTTTTTTTTTTTTTTACATCCCATCTCCATGCACAATGACAGAGTAATAAGCAATCAGGTACTATCAGGTGATAGAATCAGCACTGCTATGAATCAGCTGAATCTGGGACAGGCTCCTGCTGAGTCCTCTTTATGAAAAACTCAAAATACTGAAATAGTATAGTAGCACCGTCTACATCAACAAACACATAAATTACCATACTTTCCAGCCACATTACGTAGAGTATAATAACATCAGGTATAAAAATAATAATAAATGAGTGGCAGATGAAATTGGAATAAATAAAATATATACTTTCAAGTGAAGGAGAGGAAACAGTGAGTTTCATTAGTGAGTTTCATTACAGTGGTTATGACTAATGAAAATAATCAACTATGCATCAAGGACCATATTTGGACGTTATGACGGTGGCCTGTTCAGTGTAATGGACACACATCGTCAGAGGAAGGCAGATGTGCTGTATGATGCCATGATGAAAAAGACCCCAGCACAGACAGCCTGCAGTGTTTAGCTATTACTGCAAATTAATAATGCATATTAATAATGCACATTACAACATTAAGCCGAAAGAGTGTCATTATCAATATGAGTTTGACAAAAAATCCTCATAGGACAACGACCATAATCCACTGAGGTAAATAGCTTTGTGGAATCACATTATAGAAAAGTGTCTAAGGGAGACTATTGAGCAGTAGAGATCCAGTATACCAAGTTGGTAATGTAATCTAAACAAATTGAGCAATTGTCAGTTGGCTTCTCACTGAGCGCTGCCTGAAAGATAGACTTGATGAAGCAGAGAATAGATTCAGCCTCTATTGAGACACAGCACAGGAAAAATGATAGTCAAGTGAAGTTTGAATTAGATTTCTCTTAAAGTGGAAAAACACACACACACAAAAAAATCCCATACAGATGACAGAAGTTTCACACAAAACAAATTGCTTTGATTTATGGGAGAAAAAAAAAATATTTCTTAATATCGTTTATGTCTTAGTTATTGGCTGTTAATGAGCCTGTACAGCATAAAAACAGTCTGCCTCTAACGAATCTGGTTAACCCTTTACTTTAACGCTCTGTCATAAGGCCTACATAGAGCTGTCATAAGATGGCTGACTGTTTGTATGCAGCATTTACCTGTGGTGCGCTGCTGGTCATTGGACGACTCGATGCCTGCTCCAATCAGGTTCATTATCTTCTCAATCTGAGGAAGAGGAGTGGAACATTAGGACAAACCAGATATGGTTACCCCCAGGTAATGATCATCAACATGTGCTCCTACAGCTTGTTTCTGTGTGTTTCCAAACAGTGTACTGTTGATTGAACATGGATGCTGACTGAGGAGGAGGGCTGACTGAGGAGGAGGGCTGAAGATGGAGGAGGGCTGAAGATGGAGGAGGGCTGACTGAGGAGGAGGGCTGAAGATGGAGGAGGGCTGAAGATGGAGGAGGGCTGAAGATGGAGGAGGGCTGACTGAGGAGGTGGGCTGAAGATGGAGGAGGGCTGAAGATGGAGGAGGGCTGAAGATGGAGGAGGGCTGAAGATGGAGGAGGGCTGAAGATGGAGGAGGGCTGAAGATGGAGGAGGGCTGACTGAGGAGGAGGGCTGAAGATGGAGGAGGGCTGAAGATGGAGGAGGGCTGAAGATGGATGAAGAGTAAAACAACAATGTGATGGGTAGTGTTTTATTGGTCCTTCACACTCCCTCCACCACTCAGCAAAAACACAGCAGGGTGAGGGTGTTAGGGTGAATTACAATTTAAAGCGGTTGAACCTTGGGTGGACGAAGCGCAGGGAAAACTTGTAGGCCAAATTGCTTTAGATCTCTGCAAAATGACCTTTATAAGATTCAATAAGGCTCTCTGCCCCATCTCTGAATAAAAAGTGAAAACCTGCAGTATACAGAGTGAAACAACAAGCCTGCCTGGAGGTTAACACAAAACAATCCAAGCACATCATGGGCCTAAAACCTATTGCCTTAGAAAATAACGAATAATAATTTATCTTATGAAAGCAAAGTCAAGAAGATATTGCAGTAATATTACACAGTTCAGCTCTGTCTTTTTGTGTGAG